TGAACCTCTTATGACCAATTCAACCATTCCAAACTATACTAGCATACCTCCAACTGAGAAACTCTCATGCTAAATCCCATCTCGAACCCCTGTTCATAGACGACTCTAACAAACCTGTGACACACTTTTGGTTCCAAAAACACCTAAAATCTGTTCTCCAACTATCAGGCATCCCAGCAGAGAATTTCTCCAGCCATTCCTTCCGCATCGGAGCAGCAACCTCAGCAGCCCAAAAAGGCCTCTCCCAGCAACAGATCCAAGAGCTTGGAAGATGGTCCTCAGACACAATTTTTTTGGAGATACTCACAATAAAAACAAAGAGTTGTGCTTTTCGCCAAATAAAGCTGAAAGGCTCATTATGCAGCTCATTATGTGGCTAATTATGCAGGTCATTGCTTTCTCAGGTGTGAATCAGGGCATTATTCATGATTCTCACAAACATCTCAAGGACCCCCAAAACACCCCCAGTGAGTATATGATTAGACCAATTGCACTTATGCCTTTTATAACAAAGTGCTTTGAGAAGTTGGTTCTGGCACTCATTAAAAGTATCATTCCAGCCACTCTAGGCCAGCATCAGTTTGCCTAGCGGGAGAATAGGTCAACGGAGGATGCAATCAACCTTGCTCTGCATAACGCCTTGGTTCTCTTGGATAAGTCAAACACCAGTGTTGTAGTCGAGACCACCTCACTCGAGTCCGAGTCAACACCAGAGAGAGTCGAGTCCGAGTCAAGGCCGAGTCCATAGAGAGTCGAGTCCGAGTCGAGTCCGAGACCAGAGACGGTCGAGTCCGAGTCGAGACCAGTGAGGGTTGATTACCTAATTTACTTTTATTTACTTAGAGAAATCCTTTTTTTTTTTTTTTTTTTTTTTTACTGAATTTACTTAGAGTTTAAAAAATATGATTAGTTTAGGGTAAAAAGGCCACATAGTAGGTGGTGTTAAAAGTAATTTTATTACAATTTGTCATATACGCAGTTGTGCACTAGAAAATCACCAATCACTGGGCGTGTCAATCAATTTAAAGAAATAATTTATTAACATACATTAATAATCATGAAAAATATTTTTAATTGAACTCGAGTGGACTCGGGAATAATTCCGAGTCCTAAAAAAAAAAATGTTCGAGTACGAGTCAATTCCGAGTCCAAATGCGCATTCCGAGTCCATGACAAGACCAAGATCATTAAAATATGGTCTCGAGACCGAGTCCGAGACGAGTCCGAGTCTCGAGTACTACAACACTGTCAAACACATATGTCAGAATACTGTTTGTTGAGTTTAGCTCAGCTTTTAATATGGTCATCACCAAAATCCCTTGGGTCCAAACTCCACAGCTTGGGAATAAGTGCAGCCATCTGCAGCTGGACTTTGGACTTTTTAAACAACCACTCCCAGAATGACAAACCACACTTCTTAAAGTCTTAAGGCCCATACACACGAATATCAGCGCGCATTATTCACGTTTTTTGTGATCACACCCAAACGATTTTCGCTAATGATGAGCAGAGTGAACATGCAAATTCATTCCCTGACATTAGATGGTGCCAATTTGCTCTGCAATACCACTTCATATCAGTTTCCTTCTATCAAGATGTTTGTAGTCCCTGTCGCGTTTGTCATATACTGTAGTTCTTTATATTCTAGCACCAACGAGAACAGCAGCTCTACATCTTGCCTTGCATCTTCCTCGTCTTATTTCTGCCTGGCTGTGTAGATGGCGACGCTACTTGGCGTATATTTTCTTCGCCGTTGTATATGTGTGCTCGGCAAGACCGTTTTGTGTTTGAGCGCAAGACAGTTTTGTGTTTGAGCGTTGTGTTTTACTGTAACTTCAGAAGCTCCAAACATGTGAGCAAAAGTGCCAATCTCATTGGTTGGATAATTTTTGACGCAGCGCGTCAAACTTAAAAACGGTCCTGAGGCGGTTTTTTTTTAATGACGCTTTTACGCGTGGCGTTTACGGTGGTGGTGTGCACACTCACATTGGCGCCCTTTGTTTAGTCACGAGGCGTTAAACAATGGCGAATAAGTTGGCGAGTTTTTGTGTTCATAAATGGAGTGGCTCCCCCTTTTTAAATTCTTGTGGTTCAACATTACAGAACATTTTATTTGGTCTACACCTCCTCTGTCTTTGGAAAAGCACAAACATGTCTTTACTTTCTGAGAGGATTAAAGAAAGCAAGATTGCCTTTTAATGATTTGCAGTGGACGGTGTACTAACGTATTGCATTACACCTTGGTATGGTAGTTATACAAGAGAAGAACAGATGGCTCTGCGACAAGTTACCAAAATGGCACCAAATATCATCGGCACAGTTACCATAAGTTGAGAACATTTATTTGTCCAGATGTCAGAGCAGAACCTCCAAAATTATTTGAGATCCCACTCACCCTGCACACTACCTCCCTTCATGTAGGAGATACAGCACAATTAACTCTTGTTCCACAAGACTAAAAAATAGCTTTTTTTGCTACAGCTACTCAACACTTCCTGACTGCTTTCCATGTATAAATTATATTTGTAATTTCAGCACTATTTTTTTATTTTTGAGGTTTTTGTTGTTTTATGATATATTGACAACGTCTTCAACAATATAAATAAATGACAGATAAATCTGCTAGTCAAATATTAGTCATTTTAATCATGCTTGTGTAATTTTAATCATTTGGTTGTGTGGTTTCACGAAAAAAACTGCTTGGATCCTGGATGCTGAAAAACAGCTGAAATTAGATATCAGTTTAGTATTACAAAATGTAACATCAAATAAAACAATAATAATAATAATAAAAACACATTTAAATTTTTTTTTATTGGGAATAAGAAAGAGAAGCAACGCTTGTAAAGTGTAAAATATTGTATTTTTTTATTTACAAATGGGAAAAGAGTAAACAAAATGCTATGTTAAAAAAATGGGAATGGCAAAGATAATTGAGGTGATTACTAACACAATACTGTTAAACCAAAAGCAATGTTGTTGAGGGTTTTTTAAAGACGTTCTGATGAGCACTGTACAAACCAACAAGGGAAGAAAAAAAAATGGTACTTTGGAGTGTTCCATTGATCCAAATTCAAACAATTCCACATATTTATGATTAAATAAAATACATTACAACAAACGCATCTTAAGTATCCTCAATGGAGAACAGAATAAATGGCACGTGAAAACTAAGGTGTGTGAAGATAAGGACCAGTTGTTGTGGTAGCCACTGAGGGCAAATCGAACCAGACTAAATTTTAATGAGGCTGTGTCCGAAATTGAAGACAGCTGCTGTGCTTATTCGCTGCCCTGTCAGTCAATGACCAAACATTTCTGCGTAAAAGGAAAGAAAGTTTCAGGCAGGCTTCCAAGGCACCATAATGTCATGTTTAATTATCAAGAACAAATTCAATAACTTAAGTTAACGATTAAGCAGTTCATAGTGTTGCTGCGGTAGTCAGTGTTACCGGTGTTAAGCGGTATTTGGCCGTAAACCGATTACATCACTTGGCCACCATGGTACCGCCCGCATGGTTTTTAATTTTTTTAAAAAGCAAAACAACAATTTAGTTCAGTTGGACAACGGGTGCTATACAATTATACTAAACATTATAATGAACAATTAGCTGCAAAGTTGCAGCAGGAGTCAGATTTCACTTATCACATGACGAGGAGAGTAAGGAGAGATGATTGACAAGACAACACATCGTAGGCATCATTGCCAAATATTGTATCTTGTAAAATGTGGTCATATTCCAATTTTGCGCATACTTTGTTAAATTCGCTTTGGATGGAAAGAGCTAGTGACAAGTAGTTTTTTTGACAGTGCTATAAACAAGTTTAGCTAAACTTTAACTCTGACTTCCTCTGCAAGATTCACTTCTGCAGCAATGCATGGGATCATGCTTGTCAAGTGTCATGTATGTGTAGAGTATGTTTGGACCTCTAGTAGTGAGAATGTTGCACAAATATTGGATTTCGAACATGCCTTGGTGACTTTCTACCTGAATCTTAAAACTGTACGCGAAAGTAGCATTTTTCAGGCTTTGGACACAGCCTAAGTATGGGGTTACGAACTTTTAAACCTTAAAGGATTAGTTCACTTTTGAAAAAACTTTTGCTGATAATTTACTCACCCCCATGTCATCCAAGATGTCCATGTCTTTCTTTCCTCAGTCAAAAAGAAATTTAGGTTTTTGATGAAAACATTCCAGGATTTTTCTCCTTATAATGGACTTCAATGGGAACCGGATGGTTCAAGTATCAAAAGACGGTTAATAACTGTTTCAGATGCAGCTTCAAATGTCTTTAAACGACACCAGACGATGAATAAGGGTCTTATCATGCGAAACGATCGGTTATTTCAAAACTTATTCCAAAAATGTAACTTTTCTAAGGACAAATGCAAGCCTTTCTCCATTCTGTGAGGCGCGTTTGTAACGTCACGTAATACGTAATTACGTTCAAAAGGTCACGGGCGACGTAGCCGGAAGTACAGAGTCAGTGTTACAAGTTGAACGCATAGGTTGAACGTGGAAACTAACTCAAACGCCGTTTACAAAAAAAGGAATTAAAAGGAAAAACAACGATGTCGGACGATTTTGATTCTGTACTTCCGGCTACGTCGCCCGTGACCTTTTGAACGTAATTACGTATTACGTGACGTTACAAACGCGCCTCAGAGAATATAGCAAGGCTAGCATTTGTCCTTAGAAAAGTTACATTTTTGGAATAAGTTTTGAAATAACCGATCGTTTCGCATGATAAGACCCTTATTCATCGTCTGGTGTCGTTTAAAGACATTTGAAGCTGCATCTGAAACAGTTATAAACCGTCTTTGATACTTGAACCATCCGGTTCCCATTGAAGTCCATTAAATGGAGAAAAATCCTGGAATGTTTTCATCAAAAACCTTAATTTCTTTTCGACTGAGGAAAGAAAGACATGGACATCTTGGATGACATGGGGGTGAGTAAATTATCAGCAAAAGTTTTTTCAAAAGTGAACTAATCCTTTAATAACCATTTCTCATCCACCATAGAAAAAAACATCCATACTTGAACACCCCAAAATACTCGGGAGCGAGGAAACTTAACATATGCTGATATACAGTATGGCAGTCTTAAACATTTGGTAGAAAACACAAAACTGTAATGTGCATTATGTGTAAAATATTCTTTTTAGATTAACATCTAATACTTTGGAGAGGACACAATTCTCAGAGATTAACAAAATGTTAAATCATTTTAGTAAAAATTATTAAATCAAATGTAAGGAATCAATTTCCCTTGCAGTTTGAGATTTTAAAACCACTAGAATAAGAAAGACACTTGGATTTATTCCTTCTTCTGGAACAGGATTTCATCAGCAGAGGAGAGGACGAATAAAGCACATACATTCTCAAATCTCAAATATAACACGCAGACATAGAGATTCGTTCTATGCATTGGCACCCAGCCAAACCCTTCATAGTTGTCTGGTTTACCCTTCGCAAAGAACGGGTTCCTCGTCGAGACCATAATTGCTATTTTGCAAAGCAAAACAAAAAGACGAGCGGGGATGAAAAAAAAAAAAAAAAAAAAAACATGAATGAAAACAAACCGAACAAAATAAACCATAAACAAGCATCTTGTATTTACACTGAATACAGGCATCATTTCATTATAATGGTTATGGCCACAACCCTGAACAAAATCATTTCCACATCCCCCAACTTTACCCACAATCCCCTCTGTTTACCTCCCCAGCTTGCTCTTGTATACACCCCTCAAGTCTGTGCAAATTGTTCAGTCTTCAGTCGACTAGGGCATGAGGCCGTAGGGGTTTACAGGGGACTAGAAATGGCCCCAGGGAGGAGAAGATCAGGGTGAGTCCAGGAGGCTGGGTTTAGAGGTTGTCTCCGGGCTGATATTGAGGTTCGGTCGCCGTGAAGTAATCTTCGAGGAAGGCCTGCAGGTACTCAAAAGTGGGCCGCTCTTCTGCGTCTTTCTTCCAGCACTGAACCATCAGCTCGTGTAGAGAACTTGGACAGTCCTGGGGACTCGGCATCCGGTAGCCACGCTCCACTTGTTCTAGTACCTCCCTGTTGTTCATCCCTATCAAAAACAACAGAAAACTCAATGAGAGAAATAAGAGTCATTTTCAGCAGAACAATGCTTTTACGGGTGCAAACCAAAGGCGTAGATGGGCCTACGCCCATTATGAACAGGACCCCCAGTTTTTGTTCAAATATTATACTTATTAAAGTATTTTTGTTTCATAAATTTTGATACAACTACAGAGATTATTATAACATCTCAAATCCTAAAATATTGTAGAATAATTGATGAGTTTGATTAGGTGTTAATCAATTAGGTGTTAATCAGGCTGTCTCAGCCATTTCACGCCTGTAAGATGTGTGTTCTTTACACTTATGTTAGAATTTTGCCTAAACTTCTATTAAAAAAAAAAAAATCTAAAAAAGTCCTATTGAATGCAGTTTTATGGTTGACAATCCCATCCATCTAATTTCAAGCCCAAGAGTCTCTGGCTTATTCTGTAATATCGAAGAAGTTTTGTTTTGAAAATCAGATCTTTTTTTGTGTCATTTTGTATTTGGACGGGTTTATAGGTGCTGTTGTTTGTCGGTGGTGTATGACTTTATTCACAATTGATAAAAATTATGTGTTAAGTATTTATATTTGAACAGATGCGAGAGATTTTGGTAACACTTTATAATTACTGCACGCTATTAATCATTAGTTAAGCATGAGTAAACAGTTAATTCATCATTTATAAAACATGAATACACATTAATAAGTAGTTTATAAATATAGCTATACGTGTTTTTTTCTTGATTTATACGCATATCTATAATGCGTTTAATGATTGTATTTTCATACTTTGTTAATGATCAATTAATAATTTCTAAATGAAGTATAGCATTATTTACAAACCAGTTGTTTAAGAGTTGTCATTCATTCATAAGATCACTTAGAAAGTGTAAGTAAATGTAGTAAATACAGGTAGTTATAAAGCATTTAGTAGTGGTCAGTTAACTATTTTTGTGACCTAATCTAAAGTGAGGACTATTCATGCTTTGTAAAGCATTTATAAAGGTGATTTAAAGACTCGTCAATCTTCTAAACAGTAAAATGTAACAAACACAACACAGTGATACAAACCATAGAAATATTTAACAGCCTTTAAAAATGCTTTACAAGGCATGAATAGTCCTCACTTTAGATGAGCTCACAAACATAGTTAACTGACCACTACTAAATGCTTTATAACTACCCAAATTAATCATTAATTACAGCATTAATACATGTTAATAAAGCATTTATTAACACATTAAGTAACCATCACTATATGTCTGAATGATAAGCTGTATGAATGTACATTTAAATAGTTTATTAATCATTTACTTACTCGCTCTAAGTAATCTTACGAACCATTGACAACTCTCAAATAACTGGTTCATAAAAAATGCAATTCTTCATTTAGAAATGATAAATTGATCATTAATAAAGGATGAAAATACAATTATTTAACCAAATTATAGATATGCTTTTAAATCAAGAAGAAAGCATTTATAGCTGTATTTATAAACTGCTTATTAATGTCTATTAATGCTTTATGAATGATGAATTAATGGTTTACTCATACTTAACTAATTATTATTAGCGTGTAGTTATTATAAAGTGTTACCCTAGATTTTTTCTACACAGTAGTTTGAGTATTGTACCTATATCTCTCTTTTAAGAATCCTTCTGCACAAACTCACACCATTGATCAAGTCATATGGTGAGAGGTGGGTGTCACGATTCTCCAAATCCTCCAAATTACCGATGAGCGACACCTGTGAGACGCACCGGTCTCGTATCTCTCACGGAGGAGCTGAAATTTTCTTAGCAATGTTAAAACACACATCAACCAATCACTTGTTTAGCGTTCATGTAATCCAATCTACATTCAGATTCATCAATCAGAATGAATTCGGTTAGATTGAAACAAATCGTGTGCACGTAAACAATGAATGGCGACTGCAGAAAGCAAAAGCTGAATCCAGGACATTTTTGTACGATCTCGACGGTCGGACATGTCCAGGAAATAGGGGATGGTAACTCAGCTTTCTCCTACTAAGTTACTCAGCTTTCTCCACAGAACAAGAGCCTGCTAGCTTTAGCTTCCAAAAAAAGATGGCTGACACTATGTGTCCATTCTGTGAGTGAGGTGTCTTTAGCCTCTTGCCAAAAAATCGATTTTTGCATCATCTGAGGATTTTTTCCAGACAAAACATACAGAAATCTCTCGTCTCAGTGGGATATGAGGCTGGAAAGCATGGTAATTTGAAAATACTACAGGTACACGGTGTGAGTTCAGACACTGGAGTTCGTGAGATATTGCACACGTTACGACTACGAGTCAGTTAACTTGATAATCGCGTCAAAGCAGCTGGTACACGGCACGACTGTCCTGCGCAAATTTTATCCCGAGCCGGTGGCAATCACGTGAGCTTTCACGCGAAACACAGAGACCGGAGCTTTCAATGTTGTATAGCTTGCGAAATGACAGAAATGTGTGTGCAAATGATTTGTTGAAAAGCAGAGAACAGTAGCCATTCCTTTCAACATAAATAACATACAGTAAATAGAGAGAAAGGTGTGTGTGTGTGTGTGTCTGTGTGTTTCTGTTTATATCACATTGTGTGGACCAAATGTCCCCACAAGTATAGAAAAAACCTGAAAATCACCTACATTGCATTGTGGGATCCAGCCAGCGGTCCCCATGAGGAAAACAGTGTATAAATCAGAGGTCTCAAACTCGCGGCCCGCAATTTTGTGGCCCCCTACTTGATATTCAAGTTTAATGTTAGTGCGGCCCGCCGTTGCGTTTGCCGCGTTTTTTTTATTATCGTCTCGTGACAGCTTACCGTGGGTTTGTTGTCATTAGTTGTCATAGACAACCACGAAGTACAAATATACTGCGCCTGGAAAAAATGAGCGCGTCGCTTCAGTTATGAGCGCGCTCGGCGCTTGATGCGCGCCTACATTTGAAACGTAGGCTACTTGAGCGTGCAAAATATGTGAGCGCGATATGTGAACAGGCGAGCTACCACCACCAAATCAGGCCACAGCTACTGATAGCTCGCGAGCGACGTGCTGGATACCCCTGCTCTAAAACAATGTGAGAATAATCGTTTTGAGCTTGTAATATGTGTTGTGTCTGAACGCGTTCAATGAACGATAGTTAATGAACTCGTTCATATTTTGGGCGAACGTGGACTGAACGTAGCCTACTGTATTACTGCCTGAAGAACGTTACAGTGAACTCGTACATTCAAGTGGTTGTGAAACCGAGGAGCGAGGAGGCGTCGTAAGTTAATTTAAAAGGCTTTTATGAGGTCGGTGAGGATGGGAAAATCTTACATGTCTGTGCAAACTTTGCCCGTCGATAAAATGATTGTTATCTGTGGTTGTATATGGGTTGTGGCAATAATAATAGCCTAATAATAAAAAAGAAGCTCGCAGCAACATATGGAAAAAAAAGAACTAGTTCATTTTTGAAATATGAACTGAACTAGTTCATTTTAAAATTTGTGAATTGAACTTTGAACTAGTTCATGTAATGAACTTGGTCCAACAGGTTGATAAGTGTCACAGTCTGTCGTCCTCACCTGTTTGGTCCCGTCATCTGCACCACACTTCCCCGGATCCTTTTGTTCCTCTCCCGGACTCACTTCCCCAATCAGCCACCTGTTCCTCGTCCTGTCATGATCATTTTCACCTGTGTTCACCCCAATCAACCCTGATTCCTCTGTGTATTTAGTTTCCTCTGTTTCATTCTGTCCTGGTCGGTCAATGTTGAATGTTACCCTGCGTGGTCCTGTAACCTGTCTTCCGTCCTGAATTTAGATTAAATATTGTTGTATTGTCATCCTGACTCCTTGTCCTCTTCTGCCTGCACCCGCACCGTGACAGATTGACCGACCCAAAACCTTGACAGCATGGGACTTCTCCTCACCCCAGCTCTCACCACCCTCAACCTCTTTCAAGACGGACGCTCATCTGAGGAGTATGTCGGCAGGTTCCTGGAGCTCTCTGCTGGGGTAAGTTGGTCGGATGACGTCCTAAAGTCAGTCTTTTGGTTGGGTTTGGACGATCATCTGTACCAGCAAGCCCCAGCAGCAGCGTTTCCAGGAACCTTCGCCGAATACCTGGACCATGTGTTGTGGTTGAGTGGGTCAGCCTTCACCGTTGGTGAGGCTGAAGATGACAGCACCACTCAACCACACACACCCACCATCATCACCACACCTGCCATCATCCCCTCTCCGCTAGTTCCGTCTAGCCTCTCAGAGCCCGAGACCGTCCAGCCAGAGCCAGAGCCCGAGACCGTCCAGCCAGAGCCAGAGCCCGAGACCGTCCAGCCAGAGCCAGAGGCCGAGACCGTCCAGCCAGAGCCAGAGCCGAGACCGTCCAGCCAGAGCCAGAGCCCGAGACCGTCCAGCCAGAGCCAGAGCCCGAGACCGTCCAGCCAGAGCCAGAGCCCGAGACCGTCCAGCCAGAGCCAGAGCCCGAGACCGTCCAGCCAGAGCCAGAGCCCGAGACCGTCCAGCCAGAGCCAGAGCCGAGACCGTCCAGCCAGAGCCAGAGCCCGAGACCGTCCAGCCAGAGCCCGAGGGACCGTCCAGCCAGAGCCAGAGCCCGAGACCGTCCAGCCAGAGCCAGAGCCCGAGACCGTCCAGCCAGAGCCAGAGCCCGAGACCGTCCAGCCAGAGCCAGAGCCCGAGACCGTCCAGCCAGAGTCAGAGCCCAGAGACCGTCCAGCCAGAGCCCGAGACCGTCCAGCCAGAGCCAGAGCCCGAGACCGTCCAGCCAGAGCCAGAGCCCGAGACCGTCCAGCCAGAGCCAGAGCCCGAGACCGTCCAGCCAGAGCCAGAGCCCGAGACCGTCCAGCCAGAGCCAGAGCCCGAGACCGTCCAGCCAGAGCCAGAGCCCGAGACCGTCCAGCCAGAGCCCGAGACCAGGATCCCACCCAGCCTCCCTCTCCCGCCTCCTCTCATCTGTCCTCCCTCTGCTCTCCTGCCCTCCAGCTCCCCTGACCCAGCCTGGTCCTTGGATCCCCGGTCTTCGCTTCACACCTCCTCCTCTGAGACACTTCCTCGGCCCTCTGTCCCATCAGCTCCCCCGTGGCTCCTACCTCCCTCAGCTCCTCCATGGCCCCTCAGTCCACCAGCTCGACCAGGCTCCCTCGACCCTCCGGACTCCCTTCGTTCCCTCGTCATCCTCCCTTCACCTTTGGACTTCCTTCCCTTGGCTCCGCCCCGTCATGTCACCCCCCCGGTTCAGTTGGACTCCTCACTCCCTCCAGTCACCCGTCAGCCCTCACGCACTCTGACCTCACCGTGTCCCTCTGTGCCCCTGTCAGCACTTCTGTCACCAGAGCCTGCGGTGTCCCCTTGCTCCCTCAGTCCCTCCTCAGCACCCATCATCGTCGGTCCCTCAGCTACACCCTGGTCTCCTCTCCCATCCGCTCCGCCCCTGTCGGTCGGCCCCCTGGTGTTGTCAGCCCCACTACCATCGGCTCCACCAGGGGTCCTCCCTCCAGCTGCTCCGCCCTGGTCTCGCCCTCATCATGCTCCGCCCTGGTCTCGCCCTCAGCCTGCTCCGCCCTGGTCTCACCCTCAGCCTGCTCCGCCCTGGTCTCGCCCTCAGCCTGCTCCGCCCTGGCCTCGCCCTCAGCCTGCTTTGCCCTGGGGAAGCCCTCAGCCTGCTCCGCCCTGGTCTCGCCCTCAGCCTGCTCCGCCCTGGCCACGCCCTCAGCCTGCTTTGCCCTGGGGAAGCCCTCAGCCTGCTCCGCCCTGGTCTCACCCTCAGCCTGCTCCGCCCTGGTCTCGCCCTCAGCCTGCTCAGCCCTGGCCACGCCCTCAGCCTGCTCCGCCCTGGGGACGCCCTCAGCCTGCTCCGCCCTGGCCACGCCCTCAGCCTGCTCCGCCCTGGCCACGCCCTCATCCTGCTCCGCCCTGGGGGGCTGTCTCCTCCTGACAACGCCCTCCACAGCCTCCAGGGTGCCCCCCCCCCCCCCATTGATGTTATGGCGTGAGGCCACGCCTTCCGGGAGGGGGGAGTAATGTCACAGTCTGTCGTCCTCACCTGTTTGGTCCCGTCATCTGCACCACACTTCCCCGGATCCTTTTGTTCCTCTCCCGGACTCACTTCCCCAATCAGCCACCTGTTCCTCGTCCTGTCATGATCATTTTCACCTGTGTTCACCCCAATCAACCCTGATTCCTCTGTGTATTTAGTTTCCTCTGTTTCATTCTGTCCTGGTCGGTCAATGTTGAATGTTACCCTGCGTGGTCCTGTAACCTGTCTTCCGTCCTGAATTTAGATTAAATATTGTTGTATTGTCATCCTGACTCCTTGTCCTCTTCTGCCTGCACCCGCACCGTGACAATAAGAAGGTTTGCTTTGATATGTGCAAAGTCATTTGCCTGAGACACTATACATGTGTAGAAAGAATTATTTGTATTTCAAAAGCAGTAATTGTTTTTTAAAAGGAAATGTGCCTTTTGGAAAAAAAAAAAAATCAATATAATAGTGTTGTATAAAGAAAATAAAAAGCAAATATGACTATCATCACAACAAAGATGTTGTGTATAAGAAAAAGACAAAGATAGTTTGTAAAACTATCAACTGTCAGAAGGACGGCTCATGAAGTACCAATCATGTACAGAAAGGAATGTTCAAATTCAGAAGAACAGTTCTGAAGAAACGTTAATAATAAAGATTGAGAAGATTGGATCAGTTGTGTTCCATTTTTGGAATACTTGATGTAGCCCGGCCTGACCCAAGACTCTATCTCCAGCGGCCCCTAGTTAATTTGAGTTTGAGACCCCTGGTATAAATCGTACAAAGTAATGTTTTTTGAAAATGTAAAAATGCAAAATGTTTCCTGTGAGGGGTAGGTTTAGGGATAGGGGCAGGGAAAGGGGATAGAATATACAGTTTGTACAGTATAAAAACCATTACGCCTATGGAGAGTTTGTGTGTGTGTGTGTGTGTGTGTGACAGTGTATACACACACTGTATGATTGCTGCCACGGAGCATACATAAGCATGTCCCATGACATGGTTGTGCATGATTTGGCTATAGGGGAAAGGCTACGCTTGTGTAAATCAGTCCGACTCCCCGAACTGTTTAAACATGTTTAAAAATTATCGGGAGGTGCTCGTAGCATGCTCGGCTCATAATTCCTCTCACACACTTGCGAGGCGCGACCATGTGAGCTTCACCGTTTCCCACGCGATCACCGTAAAACAGCAAATAATCGCACCGTGTTTGAAAAGACAAAAAAAGTCACGGTCAATGTAACATGTTAAAATCACTCAGAACGTCTTTGCAACCATATAGCAACACCCTAGTATTGTAGTAACAAAGTTTTACACTGGCACACACAACTACAAAAATCGAGTTATTTTCGGAATTAATTTAGTGCTAATAAAATGTAATCACTTTTGAACCAAAATGACTAATAAAGAGATACACAAACTCATGCTGCATAGATCATTTTGCAACAACGACTGGGGGGATAAAAACAGACTAAAACTATCAATCAAACCAAAAAATGCAATATCAGATCCCCATTTTTGAAGATATGAGGGCAGGACAATAAGACCCGCTTCTCATGATTGGTGATCCTGGAACAGAACTGGACGTATGAAGCCAGAAGATTCCTCATCACCATGAGGGACATGACCAGATATCAACAACTGCGAGAAAAACGCCTGCAAACATCTGCGGATGACGCAATACTGTGTCGACTCAATGGCATTTCACACCTCCCCCTTTCATTTCTCCCCAACATTCCAGCTAAGATCAAGATTTGTTTTTTGTTTTTTGAATTTGTGCAGATAAAATTCAACCATGGATCACAGTCTTCAGCATATTTTAAGAGTCTGAGTGTGATTAAAAGGGTGGTTCACAAATTTTACACAGATACTGATAAATGATTCATCTAGTTGATCTAATTATGGAGCAACTGCATTGCCAGGACATGTCAACACGACTAGTACTGAAAAACCTAAAGGTGTGGAAAGAGCCAGTTTGGACTAAAATGAAAAAAAAAATAATAATAATAAAATCTGAGACTGGACATGCCTCTCAGAAATTAGTCTACAGATATGTACAGGGGTTGGACAATGAAACTGAAACACTGGCCAATGTTGGAGGTTTCACATCTATATGCCTGGCGGCCAATCTTCAGAGTGAAGCACGGGTGGATCAGTGATGGTTTGAGCTCCAATATCATGACAATCCTGATTGTTTTTGATGGACACGACACCGCCGAGGACTACCAAACCCTTCTGGAGGATCATGAGCACCTGATGCTCAAACCGTGTATCAGCATGATCATGCACCAACACACACAGCAAGACTTGTGACAGAAGGGTTTGATGAAGATGAAAGTGACGTTGAACATCTCCCATGGTCTGCACAGTCACCAGATCTAAATATTATTGAGGTGTTTTGGAGGAGCGAGTCCACCAGTATCATATAGTGACCTGGACACTGTTCTGGAAGAGGAACGGCTCATAATCCCTCTGGTCACTGTGAAGGACTTCTATCTGTCATTCCCAAGATGAATTGGTGCTGTATTTGGATGCAAAATGAGGCCCTCACCATACTAACAAATTATTGTGTTGTAAAACCAGGTGTTTTAGTTTCATTGTCCAACCCCTGTATATCGGCAGATATGCATCAAGGTATGTGGTAGCAAATATCTTTAAAACATGTCTTTTGGTCTTTTGGATGTAGGTTACAATTTGTTTTAGTTTGATGTATTTTAAACTTTTAAAGGGTCACATTAGTAATTTCACAACACATCTAGTGAGCACTCAAAGCAACTGTTTTGAGATTTACCTGGATATGGAACTCTGCCTTTGGTGACCAGCTCCGTAAGCAGGATTCCAAAAGACCAAACATCGGATTTAATGGTGAACTTCCCATACAGAGCTGCCTCAGGAGCCGTCCACTTGATAGGGAATTTAGCCCCTGAAATACAGACATGGGAGAAAGAAGATTCATTAAAATGAAAGTGCACTAGAATTTCTAAAATACATGCAATTTTAATTGTAATGTCATTTTTCCCCCCACCTAACATTGGACAGGAAAGTAGGGTTAGAGACAGGAACTAATCAGAGACAAGAGAGAGGAAGAGGACCTGGAAAGGACTTCGAGCCACCCAATATGAGCAATTGCTCTGGATTCAAATGGATTTCTTTAAGTCTCCATGTTGTTTATGTCTCTGTGGTGTGTTTAATATGCCTTAAGTCAAACCATGTTCAAATTCAAGAGTCAACACTTGCTGAGTATTTAAGATCTTACAGTATCAGATCAACGTGTGATTACCGAGTTGCTGTAAATGAGTGGCGGGGCTCGTTTGCATATTCATAGAACGACATATACTAAATGAGGCAAGGGTGTAGAGTTACATTCAAGCTATTTTAAGGGATGAAGTTGAGGAAGGAAAAACATTTAAATGTGTAATTTTAGTGATCAAAGAGGAGTTTTAAGGGGTACAATTATTTACTATAGAGGGACTTTAATATCTCTGGTAGCATTGTGCACAATTCATTAGATCTTCTGAAACAACTTTTCTTTTCTGCTGATGTAACCAATGGTGTGTGTTGACCAACAATATCAAAGTTAACTTCTCACGATCCAATCAAATCTCAGACTATAAAATCAAGTACCATTCTAAATTAATTTCAGCTGAATATTCTGTTCTAACTTTTTTTCAGGGATGGCCAGGTAGGAACCATCAACCTTTAAAAGAATTAAATAAATGGGGGTGGTGATGGCGCAGTGGATAACACACTTGCCGTTGGTGTGAGAGACCCAGGTTCGAATCCACTGTGTTTGCTCCAGAGGTGTGCAACCTCTGACATATATAGCAATTGTAAGTCACTTTGGATAAAAGCATCAGCTAAATGAATAAATGTAAATGTAGCCGATCACTTAACATGCATCTAACAGTGTATAGCCTGCATGGAATGCATTAAACTGATGTGGAATGGAACACACATAAAGCCATGTAGCTACACCCTGCCCACTGTGCTTAAACATGTTACCTTTCCATGTGAGATACGACCTCTTTTGCTCTAAAAAAATTAATTAATCTAATAATTAATTGTGAAACTGTTTGTAGCTTTCCTGTAGTTAAAAAAAAAGAGCGTTGGTGCTTGCAACACCAAGGTCATAGATTGACTACCAAGGAAAGCAAGGACTGATAAAAATGTAAATGTGCAAATTGAAATGCAATGCAAGTCGAAAGCGTCTGCCGAATGCATAAATGTAAATGTACATGTTTGTTTTGAGAAGTGGCTGATTCCGGCACCAACAATATTGGGATTTGGGTGGCAGGATTTCTGTGCACGACGAACGTTTCATGTTCACGTCAGCTTCACAGGTCTTCCTGCCGCTTGCCCTTCTAGAAAATAAATTGTGACCTTTCAGGTAACTTTTTTCCGAGTAGTTTCTTGCTCTGCCGCAACCTCTTTGGCTGCTATCTCTCTACACCTCAGGAATAGGATAAGCGGTCAGCCAATGAGAAAAGTCTCCAGTTTATCTGCTAGAGGCCAAAACTGTGGGAGGGAAGTTATTCAAATCACAGCTTAACTCTTCTGAGGAGACAGCATCCCAAAGACTAGAGTTGAGAAACACCGAACTATACATTGTATGTCTTTAGGGTATTTAGAAAATTATAAATAATCTTCATCTTCTAAAAAAATCGACTTTTGTGTTCTGTGAAAATGTTGGGTTTGGAATAATTTGAGGGGAAATTACAACTAAACATTTTTGAAATGACTATTTCTTTAAAGAGTCAGATCACCCAAAAATGTCAATTCTACCAGTAATTACTCACCCTCATGTTGTTCCAACCTATCTTCAGAACAAAAATGAAAATATTTTTTTATTAAATCTGAGAGCTGGCTCACTCCTCCATAGGCTTATCTGTAATTGAAACTTCCCGGCCCAGAAAAGTTATTAAAACATTTATAAAATAGTCTAAGTTACTACACTGTAAAAATGAAAACGACTGAATCTGTTAAATCTAATCAATAAAATTGAGGCAACAGATTACAATCAATATTATTAATTAAATTTAACAAATTAGAATGGAGTAATAATTAACCAAACATATTAATTAAAAGTTAACCATTTAAATTGAGTAAAATTTACACATTTTTCTAAACAAAAATATCGGAATAACAGACTGACGTCAAAGATGAATTAAGAACTCTTTTTTTATTGCCATCATTGAAGACACCTGATGATAACAAGCAGAATCACTGAAGAAGAAAACCGAGATTTTTAAGTCACCATTATAGAGATCAGTGTGTGTTTTAGTTGGTCTCTTGACAAATTATTAACTTTAGATGTTATACGTGTCTGGCTGTTATACGTAAATTATAATAGCCAGATAAATAAATAGAAAAGGTGATCTGATGGTGTTCGTTGTGTTTTACCATAATCATCATTTCACAATCATTTGACCTGATCAATGACCTCACATAGAGTTCAGTTTAGGTTTACTTAATTAATTATAGCAGCAATGTTCTTGAACAGTATAATATTTTTTATGATTATTAAAAGGTAATCCATAGATTTTTTTATGACCTATATCAAATACAAAAATAAAACTTTGCTCTGATTTAGTGATTTAGTGTTTAGACACACAGTGATCTAGAATTAGCCTGTGAATCTCAACAACGGTGACAATAATAGCGCATGTTGTAGTGCATTCTAGGTGCCACCAATCCATGGCTCCCATCATGCATTGCTGCATGAATAAATAATGAGCTTATGTTCAGAGGTGATCTGTTTGTCACCACTGCTGAGATTAATACGCGAATTCTTGATGTCTGTTTGTGCCTCCATAAAACAATTTCTGAAGTTATCTTTTTATTGTTTTGATCATTTGGTTTCATTGAAAATGCTAAAAAATATGATGCTGTCCAAGTCCAATGAAGCTATAATTGATAAAATAAACCTTAGTCAAACAACTGAGCTCTACATGAGTTCATTGGTCAGGTCAAATGATTGTGAAATAATGATTATTTTAAAACGCAACCAACACCATCAGATCACCTTTCCTATTTGCTCATCTGGCTATTATAATTCACGTATAACAGCCAAACAACATCTAAAGTTAACGATTAAAGGGTCAAGACGCCAACTAAAACACACACACTGATCTTTATAATGGTGACTTAAAAATCTCGGTTTTCTTCTTCAGTGATTCTGCTTGTTATCATCAGGTGTCTTCAATGATGGCAAAAAAAAGAGTTCTTACGTAATTCATCTTTGACGTCAGTCTGTTATTCCGATATTTTTGTTTAGAAAAATGTGTAAATTTTACTCAATTTAAATGGTTAACTTTTTATTAATTTTTTTGGTTAATTATTACTCCATTCTAATTTGTTAAATTTAATTAATAATATTGCTTGTAATCGGTTGCCTCAATTTTATTGATTAGATTTAACAGATTCAGTCGTTTTCATTTTTACAGTGTACAGTGGCTCAACCATAAGTTTATCAAGCGATGAGAATGGTTGAGCCACTGTAGTCACACAGACTATTTTAACAATGTTTTAACAACTTTCCTGGGCCGGCAAGTTTCAATAACAGAGAAGCCTATAGGGTCGATTCAGCTTCCAGATTTAACAAAAAAATATATTAATTTGTGTTCCGAAGATGAACGAAAGTCTTATGGGGTTGGAACAACATGAGGGTGAGTAATTACTGGCAGAACTGACATTTTTGGGTGAACAGCAACTGAATTTAAGTTACATTTTGAGTGAAATATGTGCATTTTTATTTTATTTTTTTTACAGCGGATGAATGTGCTTACCTTGTCGGGCTGTGTACTCATTGTCTTCAATGAGTCTGGCCAGGCCAAAGTCAGCGATTTTACACACAAGGTTATCGCCGACTAGAATGTTAGCGGAGCGCAGATCTCTGTGAATGTAGTTCATCCGCTCGATGTAGGCCATGCCTCCAGCCACCTGAATATATACAAACACTGGCATTGAAATATGGTGAGCAAAGTCAAATCCTTGTGGAATAAGTGCTGAGGTTACTATAGGCCAAACTAAGAAAGACAGCCTTCTGAGTATTACAGTGAGTGCTGATACAGTAGATGCATAGAAATTATATAACTTCATGAACACAACAGGGGCCAGAACATACTCTTTTCAGATTGAGCGGCCCTAAGCAGTTATTTTCATCCTGCTGTACTTCATTGATCAACAGTGGCATCAGAAAGTATTTTAAGCAGCAGTATACCTATTTTTGCATCATTAAAGTGCAGTAAACTATATCCAGGAAAAACATCAATAATTCATCTTGTAGTCAATACAGTTTCCTTCAAGAAAGCTATTCAATGTCCATAAACTCATGAGTTAGCTAGACAAAAATAACTCTAGAGAAGAGCATTTTGCTAAATACATGCAGTGAATTACATATTACTAACAGTTTAAGTAAAAATAGAATGCATGTCTTATATGTATGCATATTTGAATAAATCTGTCATGAAAACAAGTTATTTCAGTACATTGTTGTTTAAATGTTTATATTTCAGCAAAATATAAAAAGTTGATATACAAATATGTACATTTTGTAAACTTTTTAATAAGAATTTTCATTTCAGTGCATCCCTAAAATTCAGTTGATTTTAAATGTGTCCAAATAGTTTCTGGACCACTGTAGATGAGGTTTCATTTGTATTTGACCCGGAACATTCCTAAAGAAGGGCTATAGAGAGCCTAAGTCCCTCCCCTTCCAGTCGACCACCATGGGACCTTATTTCGGAAAAATATTGTATGGTAGTCAATGTCGAGAGACAACAAATATTTTGATATCATTTGAATTGTTCCCTGAATTCTACATATGAGGGTTGTCAATTTAAAAGATATATTTTAAAGTAAAGAAAGTCGCAGTTTGATGTAAAACCGTTGAGGTATAAGCCTGTGAAAACACGTAATTACAAAGACTACAAACCCCAAAGGCGCACATTTTCTCTCAACGAATGAAGCTAACTTTACTGAGGCTAATGTCTGTCATTGTTTCTATAGTCTAAAGTTATAACTGTAACGTTACACCGTCATGCCTGAGTGTTTTGTACCAGACTGCACACACACGAGCAGCGGATCTTGCTTGTTGTTTCGCTTCCTGGGAGATGTAGTTCATTGAGCGATTTTCACATAAAACTAAATGTTACTCTTCTGTTTTATGACAAACTGTGACGTTTTTGACTTTCAGAATTATCTTTTAAATTAACAAACATCATGGGCCCTATTTTAACGATCTGAAACGCAAGTATCAAGCGCCATCATGTGCTAATATTTTTACTTGTTATAATGTATGATTTGCAAAAATAAAAACTGCAGCATCTTTGATGATGAGAGAATCAAAGTGAATCCGCGGTGTGCACCCGCGCTTAAAATAGCATTATGAACAACGCGGAGCGCCCCACTGACTTTAGACCAGGATTTTTCTGGTCAGTGGCGCAATTGTTTTCTGGAATTGTAAAATAGAACTAGGGAACGTTTGCGCCGAAACACGCCTTTTCGAAACACGCCTTCCTTTTTGCGTTCAATTCCTTGTTTACCGACGTGCGTCTGTGCGCGGGTGCAAAATAGGAATGAGACATGCATTAGTGTATAATGTCATTTGCACCGGGTGTAAGATAGAGCCCCATATGTGTAATTCAGGGCACAGTTCAGACGGAATAAAAAGATATGTTGTTTCTTGCCATTGACTACCACACATATTTTTTCTGAAATAAGGTCGCATGAGCCAGAAACGGAGGGGCGGGACTTAGGCTCTCTATTTACACAGAGAACGATAATGTAGTACCTGGGCCGCCATGTCGACGAGGTTCGGCAGTTTCAGTGCCCGTCCCTCCCCGTCCTTGAGGAAATCTAGGAGGCTTCCTAAAACATGCAACGTGTACATGTTAGCTTCACGGATAGAAGAGACATTTCTGCTACAAGATCATGTATACGCATGCCTGTATAATTAACATTATATTCCCTTGTTGTTCTGATATAAAAGTGTCTGATGTGCTGTTAACATATCCTGATGTTAACAAAATAAAGCTCTTTCCCCAGTCCACCCAGACCCTTTATTAAAACTAAAGCACAAAAAGACTTTGTTCAGAACTCTGCATAGTGTTGATGTCACAACCATGAGCACATTGTAAAGTTAATGCCCATGGTTATCTGTTAAAGCTCTTAGTAAGCAGCGACTCGTCCTGATGAATGACAAAAACAGTTTACACAGAGCAAAATCCCCAGTGTTAAATTAACACTGAGAGTGTGAATTATATAAACTCTGAGCAGAGTGTTAAATGAACACTGAAGCAGTGTTAAAGTTAATGAGATAATTAAGTGAATAATTGAGTGATGATTAAGCATCATTGAAGACACCTGATGTTAACAAGCAGAATCACTGAAGGAGAAAAACGGAATTTTAAGTCACCATTATGGAGATCAGTGTTTGCTTTAGTTGGGCTCTTGACCCTTATTTCTTTAACTTTAGATTTTGTTTGGCTGTTGTACATGAGTTATAACAGCTAGATGAACAAATGGAAAAGGTGATGGTTGTGTTTAAACATAATCATTAATTCACAATCATTTGACCAGAATCACTGAATTCATATAAATTCAAATTTCTGAGTAAGGTTTACATTATTAATTATAGCAGCAGTGACCTTGTGCAGCATGATATTCTCAACATCTACAGAATATTCAAAATAATTTCTTAAAAGCTTTTCTTATACAATGTTTTACTTCTCTACAATGTTAAGACACGCAGACGTCAATAATTAGCCTGTGAATCTCAACAATGGTAACAGTTCTAAAGCATGTTGCATTGCATTCTTGGTGCCACCAATCAAAACTCATTCATGGCTCCCATCATGCATTGCTGCATGAATAAATAATGAACTTATGTTCAGAGGTGATCTGTTTGCCACCATTGCTGAGATTAGTGTGTTAATTCTTGATGTCTGTGTGTGCCTATATAGACCATTTCACAAGATGTAAACAACACTGGTCCAGAAGCACTTCCTGTTTCAGTTTTTTAACACTACATAAAAGCTGGGATAAAATACAACCAACAGAACATTTAAAACTGAATCAAAAAGTTAAACAAACATCTATAAGATGTTTTCTTTACATGTGAAATAAAGAAAACAGTTACAAACTGAAACAGGAAGTGCTTCTGGACCAGTGTTGTTTACATCTTGTGAAATGGTCTATAAAATATTTTTGGGATATTTAAATTTTTTTTTTTAATTTAACTCAGAATGTATGCTCTTGATGAGTTCAACGATTCAGGTCAATTAATGATTGTGTTGAAACACAACCAACACCATCAAATCGCCTTTTATCATACGACTGGCTGTTATAAGTCGCATACAACAGCCAAACAAAAATCTAAAGTTAAAGAATTAAGGGTCAAGAGCCCAGCTAAAGCAAACACTAATCTCCATAATGGTGACTTAATGCTTGTTAACATCAGGTGTCTTCAATGATGCTCAATCATCACTCAATTATTCACTTAATTATCTCATTAACTTTAACACTGCTTCAGTGTTCATTTAACACTCTGCTCAGAGTTTATATAATTCTCACTTTTCGGTGTTAATATAACACTCTCTGTGTTAATTTAACACTGGGGATTTTGCTGTGAGAGACTAGCCGAATATACCGGAGTCCATTTTGTAGAACTAAAAAAACAGTCTGTTTGAACAAATTTAAATGCATGGATTTTCATTTATTTTACTTCTGAGATTTTTTTTCTTTAAAAAGACGGTGGATTTTGGTCTTGACTAAATTATGTTTTTAATGCTTAATAACATATGTGGAGTTCAGGATTTTTCCATCCACTGTCCATTAGGTTTTCCTTCAGTATTAGGTTAAACGTCTGTTTCCTCCATTAGCTCTTCAAATGAAATTTAGGCCACTATAATTTCTTTTTCTTTCTGTCCAAGTGTTTGGAGGCCTCAAGTGACAATTTCTGAGGTTAGAACTTCAACCTTCAATCCTGATTTATCTTTAATTGGATTTTTTTTTCCCACAAGGCCTAGAAAACGCATAAGTGTTGCTAAAATAGATACATTCTATGCCTGTCCTCTAGTTAAGCCATTCTCTTCACTTTTACGAGGAGAAACACTGCTGACCTTTGCCCATGTACTCAGTGACAATGTAAATGGGCTCCTCAGAAACCACAGCATAGAGCTGCACTAGTTTATCGTGTCGTAATTTCTTCATGATCTGCGCTTCCTCCAGGAAGGACTCTGGAGACATGGTCCCGGGCTTGAGGGTCTTCACAGCCACTTTAGTGTTGCCATTCCATGTGCCTGACAGCAAAAAAAAACAGACATTTGTCAGTCAGTACAACAGCACAAAGCCCCTAGCCGAACAGCATGCCACCAAATGACTTTCATGCACCCAGGAAATATATTGAAACCCCTCTTGTTCATGCAAAATGATTTTGCAATTAAAACAGCCCTTATTCCACAAGTACACTCATGGGAGAATCCACTAAAAATCTAAGTATAGCATTGTTCATTTGTAGTCACTTTCAGTTGAGAGGAATTAATGTTACATGAGGAATTGACTGCATGGTCTATTTATGGACACTGCAAAAACTTTTTAGTAATAACTTTTTTTTGTCTCGTTTTCCAGTAAAAATATCTAAGCATCTTTTAAATGAGGAAAAATGATATTAATACTTGAGAAGCAAAATAGTGCAAGATAAGACTTCTCCTCAGATAACATACTGTATATTGAATTTGCCTCATTGTTCTATCCTACTTGGTAAATTATTTTATAAAAAAAAAGTCATAAACATATGCATAGATACATTAGTGTAAATAAAATAATTTTAGTACATTTTAGATTAAATCAATGAATCTATTTGAAGATATATTCCATGAAAACGTCTTAATATACTGCTTTTGCAATCTAAAGTAAATTATTTTTAAAATGCGTAGATATGTTGACGTATCAGAACTACTGCTGGTCAATAGAAAAAAGATTACAGATTACACTGTACTTGTGATATGTGACTGTTTTTCTGCAAGACACAGTGAGGAATTTCAACAGACAAAATAAATAGCCGCTTTTCCACCGTAGGGCCAAACCGTTCTTTTTCGTGGCGATCCGGTCCAGCTGGTACAGATATGGTTCCATTTTCCACTGTGGATCTGATGTGAATCTTTGGATTCTGATTGGCTATGTTTGTATCGTTCATCAACTGGATAAAATCGTTCTGAAAGTGATTCCAACAATATTGTTTCTTTGTGCCGTTATCATTATAGCTGTGGTGTGAACTCTGCTATTCTTTAATATTAAGAACTATATCTTTATCTTTATAGTTATAGCTACAGAGCAACTAGTAGTCAGGCTACAGACAAGTGACCGAGCCTGAGTGGCGACATTCATACACACATTCTACCAGCACAGTTCAGTACGGTTAGACAACCGTGCCGAGAACGGTTTGTAATCGTTGGAAGTGGAAATCCAGCTGGAACCGTTCCTTACCGTTCTTAGAACCGACCGTGGAAAAGTGTCATTTAGGGATAGTTCACTTTGAAATTAATTTTTTATATGTTTTAGCTTACCTCAAGGGCATCCAAGATGTAGGCGTCTTTGTTTACACATTATTTTCAATTTTGATATTATTAGGTCAAACCGTTGTTGTCTGTCAGTCATATAATGGAAGTGTATGGGGTCCACCTCAAAGAGCATGCGCAGAGAAGTCCAAATTAAACATGATTTAAATACTTATAAATGTAAGTACACATTGTTGGCCTAAGACACGAAACGAGCGGTTTGTGTGAGAAAACAAACAATATTTATATAGTTTTTACCTCTTGTAATCACAGTCACGTCCAAGTGATCTGAGGGCGCTTCTATATGCGCAAGCGCACCGGAAAGCCCCGTAAGTGATCTGCCGATCACAAACCGCTCGTTTCGTATCTTAGGCCATCAATGTGTACTTACATTTACGAGTCATTAAATCATGTTTAATCTGGACTTCTCTGTTCATGCTCTTTGAGGTGGTGACCATAGACCTCCATTATATGACTGACAGACAAGAACGGTTTGACCTAAAAATATCAAAATTGAAAATACTGCAGAAAACAAAGACACCTACATCTTGGATGCAGTTGAGATAAGCTAAAACATATCAAAAATTAATTTCAAAGTGAACTATCCCTTTAATTTTACAACACTGGAATCTGCTTGCCTTTAAATGACCCTGCAATGGTGGATATTCTATTTCAAATGTCAAGTTTTTAACTACATATTAAAGTTACAGTTACGCTTCCCCCTATCCCAACTGGCCCTTCACAACTTCACATTACAGAAGATAATGCTCCAAAACGTCATCTTGTGTTTACTTACAGGTAGGGCTGGGTATTGAGACAAATTTCACAATTCGATTCGATTTCGATTCACAAGCTTGCAATTCGATTCGATTCAATATCGATTATTTTGGATATCAGTTATAATAAATGGCAATTTTTCTCAAGGGAATCAAATCTCTTAAATGCTGTAAACTATGGTCTATAAATATAGTCTAGTTGTAGCCTACTAGGCTTCATTAGCCTAATATGAAGGTAATAATTAACTGTTTTGTAGCTATACAAACACTTAAATTACACTTTTATTTATTTTTACAATAAGAAGATTATATGAAATATAAACATTTAAATGGTGGCTGTCATAAAAACTTGCCAGATTTATTCAAATATGCATTAAATATTGAAGAACACTAATGAGTGTGGACTAACGAGTTTATGTGCGTTTTCTGAGGTAAATATGACGATACATGACATTGATTACAAGCTGTTTAATTGACGTCTTTCCACGGTTGAAACGCAGATTGAGCGAATCAATGTGACATGATACGGATTTCGATAAGTTGTACTCTATCTTTTAACACACTTTCAGATGCCCATTCATGTTTATTTCGCGCTGTAACTGGTATTATTAAGCCGGAAGAGAGATCAGCGCTGCTGCTTCTCTGGAGCTGCGCCAGAGCGATCTCACGCCACAGCGCCAAAACGGCAAAACGCTATTTATGTTTTTGAATTTCTAAAGAAAATGGACGTAATTTGAAAATTGAGACTTTGTTTCATATCAATAGTAACAAAGGACAAAGATTATTGCGATTTGTTGGATGCGCGCAGCCGCGATACAATGTCTCATTCATTCAAATTAAACAACAGGATGACTAATCGATTCTTGAGATTTAAGAATAAAAATGAGAATCGATTAATATCGAGAAATCGATATTTATTACCCAGCCCTACTTACAGGCGATATCAAGGTGGTACTAAAATGGTTACATCAGATGTGGTGCTTGGATTTTAAATCCACTGATCTACACACACATTGATCTGTGAGACTCTGCTCATTAAAAACTAAATAGCCTACCAGCAGTGTCCTAAAAAGGCAATAATTATAATAGGCAGATTCAGGAGATATTTTGGGATGCACATCTACAGGGAAAGGGAAAGTGAGAGATTGAACAAGATCGCTTGTGATTAATAAACAGCCATGATTCAACTTGATATTTACGGTTCTTATTCGTACCTCCATACAATGACATGATAACCACATGTAGAAGAATCACTGAAGCTCACTGAAGAACAATTTTCAAAACGAATCGGCATGTGTAACATGTGAGCACAAATTAGCTATAGTTTGTCTCTCACTTAAAATCTGTTCTTGTGAATTATTTAACCCTTGTGCATCCTCATGGACATTTTTGTCCTTTTCAGTTTTTTTTTTGATCACTTTGCCTGTGTTAAAGCTAACTGCAAAAAACTTGGCACAGGTGTGTATTTTTATTGGAATTTTACTATTTCACCATCATTTTCTTAAATTGTTTTTTTTTTTTTTTGCATTAGGTACAAAAAATACTCCCTCTCAGCCCCTTTTGGACAAAAATGTCCCCATTGAAACTGCCATTTTTAATCCCCGGTTTAGTTAACTATAAAATTATGCAATCTTTGTTAAGAGGCTTTCATTCTGATAGCAAGGCTTCAAAATTTTATTTTTTACTATTTTTTATCAGATGGTGCCATTTTTTTTAAGTTTGGCCTATAAAACAAATATCGCTTTATTCCTGTTTTCTGCTTCGCATATTATAGAGCCAACGGGATAAATTATGCAACAATATTTGTGTGGGTGTGTTGGTATGGATGTCAGAGTGTGGTTAGTATGTGTGTTATAAAAAAATATGTGTGTGTGTTTGTAATACCGAGAGAGAAAAACTGCAAATTCAAATCCAATCACTGTGAGCTCCAGTGGGGTTTTGCTGGCACCCAATGGGGAAAACTGTTACCCAAAGCTCATTTTTTGAGATATCATCCTCAAATTTGGAACACAACCTATTTAGATTCATGGCTTTGATTTTATTGCAGTTTTGAGTTCAACCTGATTTATAAAATATATATTTTATATAAAATATTTTTTATAAAAAAATTTCATAAACTTATACCTATATAACTTGTTTTTTTATTTACTTATTATTATTCTTTTACTTCAGCAATAATCTGCAAAGGGTCTTCTTAAGTCTGTGCTCCAAAGCGTCACATTTTTATGACAGAATTTTTGTCCTCTTTTTACCTATGTGTAACTTTTTTTAATTGATGCACAAGGGTTAATAGTTATTTGCATCTATGATGAGTTCACATGTTCATCTAATCCTTGAGCATGGTATGGGTAAACCGAAATGGCTTGCTATCCGTAATGAAGAGGTACGGAGCCCCAAAAGGGACATAGTGATGGAAAAAAATTGAGATGGGAGGAAAAAAATATGTCAATGGTTTTGCTTTTGAGGAAGTTTGCGTTGCGTTTCTCAGGGGAACGCTTTGTGAGAGAATGAGGAATTGTGAAAAAGTGAGCAACCATTATGTCAGGTTTTGGAGAAGCATTTTCATCTAATCCAAAGTTTGCGTGGAGGTCAGTGAATGTGGGAGAGGAGGCGACTGTCTTACCACACCAAACATCAGCGAAACACCCGGCCCCCAGCTTCGTCTCCAGCCTCAGAGACTCGCGGACGATTTCCCAGGAATCATGGCTAAGTCCCACCGTATCAGGGGTGTAGTCAACGCACACGCCCGTTAAATTAAAGCACAAACCATCTGCACTCTCTATAGAGGGGAGGAGTAGAGGGGTTAACTAGCAGGACGGCGGAGGACATGCACTGAGAGAGAAGGAGTGTGGCTGTGATCTTCTGAGAGGCTCACTTCATCATGTCTGAATATTTCAGAAATGGATGTAATAGATCCAATCTTTTCTGTATCCGCTTTGATTTTAGGTTACACATACAGTAACTTAGGCTTTAACGAAAACATTAGTGTTCTGATGTTGGCACTTACTGAACTTCTTGTTTTAAAAATCCTGCTACGGCATAACACCACTAGCCTGGAAACTTTGATAAAGAACAATAACTGAAAGAGTGGTCACATGACTATCTATAACCAGTAGTTATAGATCCACCTTAAAGGGTACATATCATGCTTTTAAATCATTCATTTTTACATATAAATCATACCGTTGTGGTCTATATAAAACATAACTGCAATGCTTGGGTCTGAATTCCTCATTATTATAGCTCCACAAGCCCCTTTTCTGATGTGCGTCTTTGAGCGACCCGTTTCAAAGCGGCCCCTTTAAATAAAAAGGAGATGCGTCACACCCCGCCCGCTCTCCAGGTCGATGAGTTCACGGTCAGTTCAACTCCACCGTTCGGCCATTATTGTAGTTTGATTAGAGATATACGATTATATACGATACCTTCAAAGAACATTTTTATTCACACGTTAATAAAATGTCAACAACAAAAGACTTGTCCATCAAGCCTTACATATTCGAGCCAGAGCGAGCGAGTTGATAAAGACGGCGACGAACCTTCAGAACAACCTCTTCATATGGATATATTGGTATGTAAGTTAACTGTTTTGTGTTGTTAGTGAAAGTCGACTATTTCTCTTGTTAAAACAAGCACACTGACAAGATAAATGACTACGGTCTAATCTTACCACAAACAATCTGTACTGATAATATGATACGTTTAGAAAAGCATCAGAAAACAACGCAGCTAAATGACCATTGATGAAACTCAAGAACAATAATCCTGCAGACGTGTAACGTTACTTCAAAACAAAAACAAAGAAAGACAAAGGTACTGCTAAACCATGACCACCATGTGTTTTAAGAAAGTAAAGTACTTTATTTTTATTAACGATATTTACAGCTTATCGAAATGCTCTGTTCGTCGTCTCCAAAGATGGAAGGAATTTACCTCTCATTCAGACGAAGTCGATCGGCAAACCCTTCTTTATAATGGCGAAGGTTGTTGAAGTGGGAATCCTTGAAGTGCTTCAGGTCGCTACATCCAACAACCGAACATTTTGACTTGCCCTCTCGTAACTTCTGCATCATTGAGCTCGGACTACAAAATCGGAGCGAGAAATAATAATGGCGGATTGCTCGAAGTGTTGGGCCGCTAGTCAATGTCTTTATTTGGCAGTTCCGCTGCAAATACGGAGACGCACTTGCTCAAAAAACGTCATAGAAAACAGAAAAATCTGAACAGGTTGAAAAATATGACCAAAACAGAATATAAAGATACAAACGAATCACCTGAAGAGAATAATTTTATCTTTTCTGTACTTATAAACACTCCAAATATACAACAAAATGCATTTAAGGGCTAAAAAAGTGGATTTTGCATGATATGTCCCCTTTAAGTAGTTTCAGCTCAAAAAGGATGATCTGGGCAATTTTATAACTCCAAGTATAAGTTAGGTTTTACTGGATGATTTAAGTGTCAAATTCATCATTAAATGAAAATCATGATCGCCTAAACTTCTCTATTGTGATGTACTGTACAGTGAAATAGGCGGGATTTTCAGGGCACAAGATTTATCATTTTTTTTGACAATGATGTGCTTGGATAAAACATTTACATAAATGCAGCAATATTTTAAACATTCCAGAACACTGGTCCAGTTTACTTCCACTGTAAGTGTGTTCTTTCAGCACTAATGCTTTCGTTAGAGCTGGACACGTATTAAACCTGGAAGATCCGTGAATATATTAGCTTACACATTCAGACATTTGCAAAGTGACTCCGCACTCACTTCGACCTCACTCCATCTCCCTCTCTGGCCGGTTGTTGTTAAGCACAGTGGGGGGGCCATACCCATCCAAACCTCCCCGAACTGGCCGTTGCCCAAGCGCTTTATGAGCTGCAGTGACTCCCGAGGAATCTCCCACACATCTTTGGTTTTGACAGACAGGTCAGTGAGCCTCGGCATCCCTTTGTGGCAAGGGACGACCAAGCGACAGCAAAGCCCTGCTGCCCGCTCTGAGCACGCACACAGACACATAGAAATATACACAAGAGAGAGAAAAAGCATCAGAAGCACGGAAGGAAGCAGTACAAAGTTTCAGCATGACACCTGCAGATATAGGGTGCAATATGTGTAGCTTGTGAGCCATTTTGCATGTTTACTTTTCAGTGGCCTTTGCATATGTTTGTGAAACACTAAATGTTTGTGACCTCTCTTATGGCTCGTTTCCACTGAGGGGTACGGTACGGTACAGTACGGGTCGGGTAAACCATGGCTTGCATTTCCACCGCCAACAGTACCCTTATTTGATAGGTGTGGTATGCTGGAAAGAAGCGATCAACGTCATTTTCGCGCGAAGAAAGCGACATAGTAAACAACAATGGATGACAGACAACAGATCTTGTTCTTGCTTCTCGGCATGTTTGTCAATAGAAACAAGCGCTGGCATTAGGCGTTTCCAAGAAGCCAACGCAAAGTCCGACTCATGTGAATGATCCCGAGGACGCGAGTCCAGTAATTCTGTTTATGGAACAGCACGTTCTTGAACGCGGCACTCTCGCTCTGGATATGCGACTCCATGTTCATTTTAGGCAACAATAAAACGAAATGTTATAAAACACCACTCTGCTTCTTTTCGATTTCATTTCAATACATTTTAAACATTCTAAAGCACACAAATGTGGTTCAGGCAACGCATAGCCTATTGATTATATTCACTGCATGTATGTGACGTTATATTTATAACAAAAGTAAATATAAAACACAACCTTGCCTCTTTTCGTTTAAATTTAAAAATATTAAACATATTCCAGGCAATATGTAATGTAATGTACTGCATATCGCATTGGTACAAATGTTGCAATAAACAACATCACAGATGATCTTGTAATAAAATAAAAAAAATGACAAAACTATCTCTTTTTGAATTTCAGTTTTATCAATAATAGCCAGTGGTGGAAAGAGTACTGAAAAAACATACTCAAGTAAAAGTACCATTACATTCCAAAAAATGTAGTGTGAGTAGAGTAAAAAGTACTTGTCCAAAAAACTACTTGAGTAAGAGTAAAAAAGTAGCTTTTTTAAAAGTACTCAAGAGTAGTGAGTACTGAGGTGCGGATTCTAACCCTTATAATAAACACTGTGCACTACAATTTATAAATTAAAAAAAATGCACATACTGGAATTCACATTTGTTCTTTGTAAGAAAGATTGAAGAATATCTATCATCCATCTTTTTAAAATGCATCAAATCAGTACACTCATCACCATTTAAATCATTTGGGGGAAAAAGCATTTAAAATTAGGCAAAAAGCCACTGGGCCTGAGCATGTTATTGTTGCACATAAAATATCAATATTCATAACTGTGCAAAGAATTCAAAAACCTTTAGAAACTCATACGATAGTTCAGCATTACACACCAAGAGATGGGTTAAATAAAATAAAAAAAATACCCAATTTCTCTCCAAAATGGTACCAATGTTAGTGTTTTGATAAATGAGAATCACTAATATTATCATATTACCTCAACTAATGCACTGAAAAAGGCTAAGATAGTGAGCTAACACTAATTACACACTTTTATTCCATGCTATTAAATATGTTACAATTTAAACGTAAATGAATTGTTCTAGAAGGGTGGCATCATCCCTTACATTTTACACGGCTACATTTACTCACATTGTAATGCTGATAATATAATTTGTAAGGAAAATCGTGCATTAAATAGGGAAGTTATATCCAGGAAACTTCTACAAAAGAAACAAACACACTTTGTCTGTTTTATCAGCAGCATGCATCAAAAAAAAAAAAAAAAGTTCAGCATGAAAAATGTTTTTGCGCAAGTGCACTTTCCAAATGAAGACGGATCATATAATGGATCAATCAAAAAACGTTGTTTATTAACGAGCTGTGCTAATTTCTTATTAAGTAATGCAGTTCAAGTCAACGACATGTGCACTGATTCTGAATCTGGCGGCATGGCGAGCGCGAGACGCGGCAGATCGTGACGCGCGTCTCTCTATAATCTGATTGTGAAGTAAATGGGAGCGGGAATAGACAGGCCAGCCTATATAAATATCATATTAAGCAGAAATGTGAAATGTACCTTAGCATATTAGAAGAAGACGCTGATTTCTGGATTGAATCGATGCGTGATGAATGCACTTCCACAGCAGTCACGAGTAACAGCAGGAATAGGCGGTAAGTTTTCTATGCTTAATTTGAATTGATGACAGTCACGAGACCGATTACTCGATCCAATCACGTTGATGGATAAAAATCAAATTAAAACAAGCATGTAACGAGTAACGGCCACAAACAGAAGGAAAATAGCGGAGAAAAAGTACCGATACATCACTTAAAATGTACTCAAGTAAAAGTAAAATTACACAATTTTAAACTTACTCAAAAAAGTACAATTTCTGAAAAAAACTACTTAATTACAGTAACGTGAGTATTTGTAATTCGTTACTTTACACCCCTGATAATAGCCATTATAAAAGTATAAGTACAAGGTACAAAAAGATATACAGTAAAGCTTAAATAACATAAAGAAACAATTCAGTCAGTCAAATACAAATTCAGCGATCAAAGATATGAAACTTCACGTAGCCTTCTGCCAAAACTATTGGCCAGGGAACGAATTATAGATTCACGAGACCAAAGATCACCTGTTAGGTTTATACAAGACGAACTATATCTCATGTTTAACCACTACAGAGAGACGTCCAAGTCAGCGGCAAACATCAGAACGACTAGCCGAGGAAAGGCTGTTCCAGGCGGGGGACACGAGCGCGAGCGTCCGGTGATCGCTTAGAATGGATCTCAGTCAAATTATCATAAATCTATAAATAAACCACAGATTTGAGCTTTCAGAAACTACTTTCTCGCCTGAAAAACTCTTAAAACTACATTTCGTGACACAATAACAGTAGAATTATATTTCAACTGTATGCTTCTAATGCCCTTGTGTAGCACGCGCGAGTGACGATACTCTGTCCACCAATCAGCGTTCTGCAGTGAGTCTAGCTCCACCTCTTAGTACCCTTTCACTGTGCTAGGTACCCCAACGGAAGGGTACCCAAAAAGTGGTACGGTACAGTTCGGCTTTTTGGTACCATTCACAATTTTTGACAGTGGAAACGCAAATAATTGCGTACCGAACCGAACTGTACCGTACCGTACCACTCAGTGGAAACGAGCCATTAAAGTCCCCCTGTAAGTCAATAACTGTATGCCTTAAAACTTATCTTTGAGCACCAAAATGACATATTTTAAAGCTACACTGTGTAACTCTTTTAGTTTATTCTTAGCTAGACACACTTAGTTCTTTCAAAAATATATGTGCTCATTAATGTAGATTTACTTCGTTCAAGTAATAAAGTATTCTCGTGAGTGTATATATGCCATTGAAAATACATACGGATAAGGGGTTCTAATGTCGGTCGCCATGTTGCCCCTCCATCTTGAATGTACATTAGCCAAAGAGGGACATACCCGTTAATTCAAGCTTCGCCTTTTGCGTTTACGTTTGAGTCAACACTCATGGACGAGGTCGAACTGGAAGCCATGTTAATCTTGGACTACGTTGGCCACCGTAGGAGTTAAAACAAAATCGGAATTGAGAGGAACAGAAACTAATATTCACTGGATGGTCATATACATTTTCACCGCAAAATCACACAGTGTAGCTTGAATGTTTTTTCCTTAGAATAGCTTGAATGTAACTACACCCTTGCATTGTGATATAGGCGGTTCTGCAAATATGCTAATGAGCCCCGCCTCCACTCACTCACAGCAGCTCAGAGATTTTTGAGACAGTCTTTGGTTAGTTTTAGGGAGAAAATACTCCGCAATGGTGTTGACTTATGAATTTGCACATGGTTTGTCTTAAAGCATATTAAAAAAACAAACAAACATAGAAATATAAATAATATTAAAAACTGGATTTTCACCACTTGGGTACAAAAATACTCTTTACTGTGCAATAAAGACTTTTTTTCCTACATGATTTAAAAAAAAAAAAAAACTACATAACTAAAATAACTAAAACTAAAACCTGGTAACTGGAAAAACAAAAACAAAAACAAAAAACAGTGATGGTTATCAATCAAATATTCAGTCTGAACTGTTATAGCATTTTTTGAGATGTTTACCCCTCCAATAGTGTTGGACATGTCAGTTGGACTTGTTTTGACATTTAACAAATGGTTAATGTGTTAATTTCCCAACAACACTACAGCAATGTTTACTCCGGACTGTAAAGCTGAGATAACAGAACACTTGGCACCAAATAGACGCCTCATTTCAGGAAACGGTCACCGACTACAGTACCATCTGCTCTGATCTCGAGGAACCCGAGCATGTGTCCGGCCATCAACACACGTCCTCTCACACGTGGCAATAAAAGTGTTCTGGTTCATACTTTTTTCTGGTGCGGACTTGAGTTTGACGTCAAAGTTGGTTTGGCAAGCACTTTGATTAAAAGTTTTGCAACATGACCTCACACAAGTACATTTTAAGTTCTGGAGTACATGTGGAATTCAATATGGGTCAAAACTGGTATTAAAGTAATTGTATACCTATCCGGTAACACTTTATTTGAAGGGTGTGCATAAGGCTGTCATGACACTGTCATGAACATGAAGGAGTCTTTATGAATGTTTATGACTGTTGTCATTAAGTGTCATTCGGTAAATTATGACACTTTAAATGCAAAGTTGACATTGTTTGAAATGTCTTTGTTATGACAACTTGACATTAAGAAAGACAAAAATGTCTTTGTCATGACAACTTGACATTAACCAAGACAAAAATGTCTTTATTATGACAACTTGACATAACCAAGACAGAAATGTCTTTGTTATGACAACTTGACATTAACCAAGTAATCATAACTAGTCCAACGTGTTCCACTTTACTTGAGGTAAAGGGACATATTAATGACACTGTTGTTAAAGCATTTGACAGTCTAATGACCCTTAATGACATCTTTATAACTAGTACAATGTGTTCCACTTTACTTGAGGACAAGTAAAATATTCATGTCACAGTTATAATGGTGTCATAACAACCAAAGTTAAAACCAACCATAACATATGATAGGATAATGTAATGTTAACACATTACAGGTTAACAGGTTATGATTTCTTGGTTATGTCAAGTTGTCATGACAAAGACATTTTTATTTTCGTTAATGTCAAGTTGTCATAGCAAAGACATTTTAAACAATGTCAACTTTGGATTAAAAGTGTCATAATTTACCGAAAGACACTTAATGACAACAGTCATAAACATTCATAAAGACTCCTTCATGTTCATGACAGGTGTTATGTCATGTTTATGACAGTGTCATGTCAGTCTTATGCACACCCCTTCAAATAGAGTGTTACCAATTATCCTATTATGGTATAATGCATTATATAAAGGTTTAGTTTTACAGAAAAATTAAAATTCTGTAATCAATATCCTAATGTCGTTGCAAAGCAAAAAGATTTTTATTCATCTTCAAAACACAAGAGAAGATATTTTAATTCGAATTTTTGTCACTTCATTAAAAGTCAAAAACTTCATTATTTGTAAAAGAAATCACTTGTGACACATGAGAACAAATCTCATTACTCCTATAGATTATTAAGCAATGTGAGTTGATCAATATTTATATGCGAATAAACACCCTTGATTATAGGCTGTTAATAAGGCTTGGATTAAACCATTCTATTTATATGGATCACAATATATCTATGAACTTTTGTATATCTGTTGTATATATTGTTGTAGATTATAACAATATATCTCTAACACTTGATGTTAACGTTTTGGTGTAATGGGAATTCAATGGAGGGAAAGAAATCTCTCAGATTTCATCAAATATTTTCATTTGGGTTTCAAAGATGAACGAAAGTCTTACCGGTTTGGAACGACATGAGGATGTCTCGAGACGTGATTTTGAGACATGATGCAATAATGGAAATGACAAAAATAGCCAATCAGCAGAATAGATCGCTCATATTTTTGGCTATGTCCTGGCTATGGCATTTTGCCTTGATAAAAGTTCGCTGAAATTTGCCATGCCAACTCGCTACTGAAAACAAAAGCTTGCAACACTTGCCCCGCCTCCGGGGTCATCTGATTGGTCCACTGTTTTGGAACCGACACTGGTGAGCGGCACTGCATGTAAAAGTTAAATTTTTTTTTTTGATTCGAGATACGGCGGTTTATCTGTATCAGCAATGTATTGTCATGGATAAGATTCAAAAAACAAAACAAACAAAAAAACAAACGTATGATTGATCATTTTGATGATACATTTTTGTGAATAAATGCAGAATCATTTGAGTCTTTATGAATAGATTTTCAAACGAGACCTGGGGGACAGAGGTAGCTGGTGGAATAGCGCAACGGTTTGGACCAAGCAATCGAAGCAAATGTGAAACAGAGCCGGCTTTCAAATGCAGACGCGTACAAGAGCAACACAAGCTGCTGAAACTGAAGCCAGTCAACAATGAGAAAGTGTTAAGCTAAAGCAAACACAGCCTTAGAGTAGCATCAACAGAGCTACTGATACACAGTTCAGCTCATCCTGATGAATGTACTATTATGAGTTCTCTGGGCTCAATATGAGAGGTCATGGAAGCAGCAAAATGCACACGCTATCTAAAATCCATACGACTCATTCTCGATGCATTAACGATCAATATGTTAACTGGAGCATAGACAAAGTACATCCTATTGAGAGAAAAAGCAAAGGGAGCCGTCTCGTAAAGGGATCCGCAGAAGCACGGTCAATAGCATATGGGATATAACCATGTCTTTGCAACATCTAAAAATGATCTTGAGTTAAAACAATATTCATCTACAATAATTCTGCATGTGGAATGACAAGTGTGTGCTACCTGTGTAATGCTGGACCAGCTGTTGAAGGGTCTCAAACTGAGCTCTAGTGGTGATGTAATATCCTCCACTGTCCAGTTTACGGATTTTATAATGTTTCACGTGGTCCCCCTTCACATCGTCCCAGTCCCGGATAGACAAAGAGAAGGCACCTGCCACAGACACACAACAGAAGCATTGCTGTAGTGCAATGTGGGAATGGGCAACGCAGTAGATGGTGAACCAGAGGACCAATTCTTTATCAGAACCGGTTCCGTTGTTTAAAGAATACTGGAATAGAATGATGTTAGTTCTGTGAATGATTCTCACAATATACAAATGTATTCAAATATTTTGAACTAGTAATGAGACTGACTCGATTACGTCATTAGTGTTTCACTGGAGTGACTGGGTTTTCATGCTAATTATAATTAAAGGGTTAGTTCACCCAAAAATGAAAATTAAGTCATTAATTACTCACCCCCATGCTGTACCAACCCAGTAAGACCTTCGTTCATCTTCGGAACACAAATAAAGATATTTTTGATTGAATCTGAGAGCTGGATCAGTCCTACATAGACTTCCTAAGGGACTGGCTCTTGACGGCCCATAAAGTCATTAAAGAAAAGGTTTAAATATTCCATGTGCCTACAGCGGCTCAATTATTAGTTTATCAAGCGACGAGACTATTTTTGTGCGAAAAAAACATAAATAACGACTTAATTCGACTATTCCATTACTTCCTTATGGGCGCATGCGCGAGAACTGAGACGAGGACGTTCTCATTCGTCTACTTTTTGTTACCGGCTGCTCCGCTTAGGAGTATTACCGCCACCTACCGTATAAGATGGTGTGCTGATATAGCTGGAAGCGCAAAACTTTCTGTTTACAAGCAGAGGAAGATGCGCGCTGTACATACGCTTTTCAATTAGCGTATTTTCCGCACTATAAGGTGCACTTAAAAGCCTTTAATCTTCTCAAAAAAACGACAGTGTTCCTTATAATCCGGAGCGCCTTTTATATGGATCATCATTTTATACGGTACGTGGCGGTAATACTCCTAAGCGGAGCAGCCGGTAACAAAAAGTAGTCGAAGGAGAAGAACGTCCTCGTCTCAGTTCTCGCGCATGCGCCCATAAGGAAGTAATGGAATAGTGGAATAAAGTCGTTATTTATGTTTTTTTTCGCACAAAAAGTAGTCTCGTCGCTTGATAAACTTATAATTGAGCCGCTGTAGGCACATGGAATATTTAAACCTTTTCTTTAATGACTTCATGGGCCGTCAAGAGGCAGTCCCTTAGGCAGTCTATGTAGGACTGATCCAGCTCTCAGATTCAATCAAAAATATCTTCATTTGTGTTCCGAAGATGATCGAAGGTCTTACGGGGTTGGTACAGCATGGGGGTGAGTAATTAATGACTTAATTTTCATTTTTGGGTGAACTAACCCTTTAAAGAAAAGTCTGTCACTAGTATTTTTTTTTAAATAAATATAAATTACTTTTCACACACCCGATTCATATTTAAAAAGTCTTTTTGGTTTTACAGATCTGTATAGAACAACTCATAGTAGTCTATATAGACTTACTAATGTACTGTAGGACGAAAGTGAATGAACGCACAGCGCAGGCGTCTGTCTGTGCGCGCATTTAATATTTAAGCAGAAGTCTAATTTAAGCAGTTTACAGACACTATTCAATAACGCAATTAGAACAAAGCACTTAAGAATAAATGACTTACATCAGCTGCATCCGTGTGCTCCTCGAAATGAAACAGGTAACTGAGGTAACTTTTCCAGGATTATTATGACAGTATTATTCCTCACAGCGCAGTAAGACGGGGTAAATGTTAGATTTGTGATAAACTGGATGTTTTATCCAGCTGATGTGGGCGTTTTCATGGCTTACCTCAACATTAGCGTTTGAATAGCGTGCGCTCTCAGTGGGCGGGGTCACATTAACATGTCATACGCTATAATTAGGTGAAAGGAAAAAGACAGACATCTCTCTGTTTTCATACAGATTACATCAACTGAGAATAGTTGCTTTTAAATTACTTCATTTAAAAGAAGAGAATTTCAGCTTCATAAAGAGAAATCTTTCATGTCTCTGTGACAAGAATTTACTGAGTTACAGTTCATTTTTCCAACGCGTTTCAGAAAGATTTTTGCGGAGACAGAGAGAGCTGAAAGCGCACCCTGTTTATTTATTTTACAAAAACACAAGATTTTGATGTTAATAAGAGTGTACACAAAAAAGAAGACCTTCTATAGTTCATAATCATGTATTGATTTTATTTATATGACCATTAATGACGAAGTATTTTAAGTCTATGTGGCAGCTATGTGAAAAAACAACCAGCATAACGTGGCGACGCGTTACTCGACCTCAGGGGGCTAAAGGAGTAGTTCACTTTTAAAAAAAAAAATTGCTGATAATTTACTCACCCCCATGTCATCCAAGATGTCCATGTCTTTCTTTCTTCAGTCAAAAAGAAATTAAGGTTTTTGATGAAAACATTCCAGGATTTTTCTCCATATAATGCACTTCACTGGGAACCAAACGGTTCAAAGGGCTTTAAACGATTTCAGACGATGAATACGGGTCTTATCAAGCGAAACGATCGCTCATTTTAAAAAAACAACAACAACAAAGTTTAAGTTTTATAAGCTCAAATGGTCGCCTTGCTCTGTTCTGTGATGCACGTTCGTGACTCTCCTGTTTGAACTCGTTCATCAAAATGAACAAATCTTTTCCCAAGTCAACTCATTCATTTCGTTCGTTGAATGAACCAAATGACACGAAAAAAGGTTCATTCATTTTGAACAGGAGAGTCACGAACATGCATCACATAACAGAACAAGGCGACCATTTGAGCTTATAAAACTTAAACTTTTTTTTTTTTTTTTTAAATGAGCGATCGTTTCGCTTGATAAAACCCTTATTCATCGTCTGAGATGGTTTAAAGCCCTTTAAACAGTTTGGAGTTTGTACTGAAACTGTCTTTTGGACCTTGAACGGTTTGGTTCCTATTGAAGTCCATTATATGGAGAAAATCCTGAAATGTTTTCATCAAAAACCTTAATTTCTTTTCTACTGAAGAAAGAATGACATGGACATCTTGGATGACATGGGGGTGAGTAAATTATCAGCAAAAGTTTTTTTAAAACGTGAACTACTCCTTTAAGAGAAATCGTAACCAGAATGCATTTTTTTTATTCTTCATGAATCGCACCCTAAGAACAGTAAAGTTCTGCGTAACCCAGTATATGGTGTACAGTAAGTGCGTGCTGTTTATTACCTTTCGTGGTTTCGCTCTCACGGATCAGGTAGGTTCCACGCGGGTTCCCTGTTGAAAGAAGCTGTCTCTCTGCATCTTTACGCCCCAACTTTCCAAAATACCAGCTGAGAGACAGAGAAAGAGCAAATGATCAGAATGCCTTAATTCTGTTGATCAAGTCACGACTGCTTGGGTCTTTCTGTTAATATAACAGATTGAATGCATTCTTTCTGAACATTTAAATTTATTTTATTCATAATGTCAAAATCAAGAGAATGTTTATCAAGGAACATATGTAAATTCAATCAAAAAAAAAAAAAAAAAAAAAGGATGGCTGGGAAAAGTTTTTTAAAGCTGTATACTGTCTGTAAAACGGCCTTACAAATGACATCAGAAAATCTGCAAACTTGCATCTCCCTCTGGTTAAAGTTAAGTGTGCCAGAATCTGACATCAGTCTGGTTTTTGAAAGCGTAATGAGGAAAAAAAACTGACATCATTAACACACAGTGATAACCCAAGACATCACAGGAGAAATCAACATTAAGCATTTTGTTTAGAGCGAGATGTACCTGCCGCCTAAAAACAGTGTGTCTGAAAGGTAGAAACAAACTTAAAGTTGTGTTTTTTAAAATTATTTTTATGATAAAGAGTTCACTTGGCAATCCATTTGGAGAGAGGAGGGTTGGCTACAAGGTTTTTTAGAAAAGCAAAAAAGGGAGAATGAAAAGAAAACGTAATTTGGTGTCATTTTTGGTCCAAAAAGTCAAGATGCAGTCACATTTACTGTTACTCAGTGGAATTTCAAAGGATAGAATCCAGTCATTCCAAGAGGAATCTATAGAATAGAATGCATCCAAGATAGAGATTGGTGGATTGGATTAGGATAATGTCACGAATATTTGAAATAGATGTTGGTATTTTACTGACAGAGATTTTTTTCCCTATGTAAATGGAACACTTTGATGTTTTCTGGACAATTTTCTAAAAATGTATCAAAACCATTGATTTTGTCAATGTACTTAAATATATTGGCACTCAAATTGCACTTTTAAAGTATTACTCTAATGCACAATCAGTATTGCACATTTGCATACATAGATATATTATACTTAATCCTAATCCTTTAAATCTAATTCTTATTTTAAAGCATTTTTATTTTTGTGTGTGTGCGTGTGTGTGTTTGTTTGTTTTTTATAAGTACTTTGCACTAGTCCTGGCATTCATTGTGGACAGCAAAGAAAGAATTTCATTGTACAGGGAAAACTTGTTTTTTCCTCATTGTGCATATGACAATAAGCGCTTTGACTTTATACAATAAGTACTTGGATTTCTGATTGCCATCTTTCAAATAACATTTAAAATTCCCCTGTAGTCAATAATGTTATTACTTAAAACTCATCTTTGATCACCAAAATGACATATTTCACGTTTTTCCTTGGAAAAAAAGGAAGACGCACGAAAAAAGTTCACGCCTTAAAGGAGAACTCCGATCAATTTTAACATTAAGCTATTTTTTTTTGTACATTTGGAGTGCTGTCAGTACAGACAAAAATGACAAAAATCGGTGTCGCCTACAACGTGTTATCGTCTTTTTAAAATTCGCACCCTGTTGACTTCAATGGGGCATGTTCTAAACCTGCTTTTAGCCTCTTAACATCCTTGATTTGTCATTACGAGTACACAGCCACGTGAGTGGTGTTATTAAGAGTGACCACAGTCAATCTGACTGCAGTAGATGTGAAAGATATGAATAAAAATGATGTTAATTCAGCCAGCTCACATACCACTATTTGCTTCCTGTTTTCGGTCGAAGTCCACAGTAGTCGATTGTCGAGTTCACGTGCGCGATCATTGGTGAATATCATCTCAAAGCCAACACTGTGTGGTGTTCTGAGAATATCAGCTCAAATGGATAGTTCATCCGAATCAGATGTTGAACACACGGAGGAGGTTTGAGATGATATTCACCAATGATTGCGTGCGTGAGATCGACAATCGACTACTGTGGACTTCGACCGAAAACAGGAAGCAAATAGAGGTATGTGAGCTGGCTGAAGTAACATCATTTTTATTCATATCTTTCACATCTACTGCAGTCAGATTGACTGTGGTCACTCTTAATAACACCACTCATGTGGCTGTGCACTCATAATGACAAAACAAGGATGTTAAAGGACAACTCCGGCACAAAATGAACCTTTAGTCTAATTACATATTGTTACCTAGTCAACCGTTCTCAGAGATTTGTTTTCAGGATTGCCGAATGTAAATAGTTTTATCTCTAAAAACAGTTTAGCCTATAACGCTAGTATAATGCTAGTATATTGGGCGTAGAGTAATGACAAATAAAAATCGCTTGTTATTACCACTAAAAAGGCTCAAAATAGCCCCACAGTAACACGACAGCATAACAAGGGTCCCTACATTCAAACCGAAGCATTGAGAACTTTGTCAGTGTCCATACAGTTTAATAAGAAGATATTTTATACACACAGTAAACTTCGCGAACACAGGAAGAAGCCATCTTGGAAAAATAGTCTCTACCAGTCGATCTACGAACGCCGATCCAAGTGCGCTGGTGAGATGTGAATAAGGTGATAAAGTGAGCGCGAACAGTAGGCTACGTGTACATATTGAAGAGAAGAAAACGGTTTGTGTTTGTGTTTCTTCTGGAAACAACGGACCATATGAGATTCTGCACAGTTCAGCGCACTTGGATCGGCGTTCGTAGATCGACTGGTAGAGACTTTTTTTCAAAGATGGCTTCTTCCTGTATTCGCGAAGTTGACTGTGTGTATAAAATATCTTCTTATTAAACTGTATGGACACGAACAACGTTCTCGATGCTTCGGTTTGAATGTAGGGACCCTTGTTATGCTGTCGTGTTACTGTGGGGCTATTTTGAGCCTTGTTAGTGGTAATAACAAGTGATTTTTATTTGTCATTACTCTATGCCCTATATACTAGCATTATACAAGCGTTATAGGCTAAACTGTTTTTAGAGATAAAACTATTTACATTAAGGCAATCATGAAAACAAATCTCAGATAACGGTTGACTAGGTAGCAATGTGTAATTAGACCTAAGGTTCATTTTGCGCCGGAGTTGTCCTTTAAGAGGCTAAAAGCAGGTTTACAACATGCCCCATTGAAGTCAACAGGGTGCAAATTTTAAAAAGACGATCACACGGTGTAGGCAACACCGATTTTTATCGTTTTTGTCTCTACTGACAGCACCCCAAATGTACAAAAAATGAGCTAAATGTTAAAATTGACCGGAGTTCTCCTTTTAAAATAGTTTGAATTTAACTCTACACTATGAATATGTAAAAAGATCCATTCGTTGATAACCACACATTGATCTGATTTGTTACAAGGTAGTGTGTGACGTTAGAAACTCCAGAGATTTCAAACTGTGTTTTTAAGACTGACTTTGGTTCACTGCAGTTTTAAGAAGAAAATACTCAGCAATGGTGCCCACATATGAATTTACACATGGTTCATCTTAAATCATATTAAAAACACCACATTGAAATATAAACAACATTAAAAACTGGATTTTCACCACAGGGGGACTTTAAAATATAATTTCTTTTAATAATACTTGACTGCTCAAATGTACTTAGCATGTGGTGAATTTAAGATAAAATGCAGTGTTGCTCATTGGTGGCATTGGAAAGCGCCTTGTTCGCCTATGCTTAGAAACAGCCCTGCTTTCAGATACGGTTGAGCTTGATAAAATGGTAATACATGGGTCAGTTTTTGGGAGGTGTCTTTGTACTTTGTCCCAAACAACAACAACAACATAAATGTTGCCTAGCGATAACATTCAAGCACCGCACTGCACTGCAACTCTCTGGATTCATTTAGAGGTTTGTCAAGCATCTTACTGAGGGCCTCTGTGTTAAAGAAGGAGTGAACCGTATGACATCACTGTACCCCCACCCTTGACACAGCCCAGTGTATTTAACAAACACACACAGACAAATCCAAGACTTACTCTTCAGCCTGGATTGAGTCCACCGGGGCGACGTAATTGCTGGGAATGTAGCCGGTTCCTCCTGTAGTGAGAGAGCGGGCGTCCCACCAATCACCCTCACTGACATAAAGAGACAAAGACAGAAAACACACACACACATTAAAATTTTTAACGCTTAAGATTTTTTTTTGCAGATTTGTCCATGAATCTGTCCTTCCGTATGTTCATCCAATACATCCATTCATCTGTCCATTCATTCATCAATCCATCTTAAAGCCATTTATCTGTTTGTTCATCCATATAACAGGCATTATTCAGTCATCCTCATAGGACATCCTTCAATTCTCTCACTACAATGTCAAACTTAACACACACTGTATACTTCTACCTCCTAACAGAAACAGGTTTTTGTGTGAAAGACTGAAAGGCCAGATGCAGGTCCCACTAATGTTAATGGAGCAGAGAAAGATTGTGTGTGTTTTTCTTAAATATTTACAATGATCCCTTCATCACAGTATCGGTCAATGCCTGACATCTGTCCCCTCCCCTACAAACCTTTCAAAGCAAATTCACCACAAGTAAACAACCCCCACAACACAAACACACACTTTCACTTACAGTAAATTGGAAAACGATCTGCCTACAGCTGGTGTGTAATTCTGTGAACGTCCCATTTGTTCAATAAGATCCAACTCTCTCTCTCTCTTTAACATGCCCTTCATGTAATACCCCTCTAAAATAGCCTGTGCTCTTCATACAAAACATCATTTCCAAGAACAGCCTCTCTGAACTCTCACAATCATAGTGTCCACTTTCCCAGACACACACACTATAGTAATAGCGTGACCTGCTGTACTAAGTAGTGCAGGTTACATTACCGCCAGCAGATGGCGCTATATTATAAAACATATTGGCAACAATGCAAAACAGGCTTACTACTACTCACTAACTTCCTTGATTCCTACCTTTGAATTCAAGGAGGTAGAATTCAAACTAGACAAAATTCAAGTAACGGTAAGTGTAGTTTTAATAAAGTATAAATGCAATATGACTAAGTGCAAAATATCAATTTCTGTGGTATAAGTACTGTTTTCCCACAATGCAACGCACTCACCTTGACCTTTCCTATCCAGTGTGTTGAATAGAAGTAATATCAGGCATGATTTTTAAAATCCCTGCTACAACTTATTACTTGATTGGCTGCAAATAACAATATTTATATCCTTCATGACAACTGTTACATGGTTAACGGACAAACATTGTGTGACAATGTAGCACACCATTATTTGAAACCGTTTCAGAGATTGTACACAACATTGTACGTGTGTAAAAAAAAATCTAGTCGATTTATTGATAATGGAAGAAATGACACATTAGCTGGACCAGCCTAAAAACCTTCTTTTTTTATCAACACACACACACACACACACACGGCACGACAATTTAGTGTCTAATTTCATTAATACTTTTCCGATATGACCCCACTGACGGTTATTGTTTAGGAAAGGGGTTCGGGTCTTCCATGGCTATGGGAGTATTACTAAAATAGTGTGTGACCTGACTTGCCTTAAAGGGACTTTGACATGATTCAATTTAAGTCAGTAAGTAGTGAACAAGTAATCCATTCCGAACATAGCTTTATGTTTCAGATCTTTGACTTACGTGCTATTGATGATTTGAAACTTCTCCCCTTTCCTGAAGCTGAGATCATCTTCAGTACGAGCCTCATAATCGTAGAGAGCAACAAATAGAGTCACACCTGAGAGAGAGAGAGAGAGCGAGAGAGAGAGCACATCAGCACCATGAGGATTAAGAATGAATTAAAGCATACTTTATATCCTGGAAATGGACAACAACATAGTGTGCAACGTGAGCACTGGGAAAGAAAAAGCCATTTTGGTCGGCGGAGGCTTCCAGACAGATCGAATGACGTTCAAGACCTGCAATTAGGGCCTTTCACGAGCCATTTCTGGAGTCAAGACTGTTTCAGCCGATTCAAGACCACCAGTCCAGCACAGTACACACACAAACAGACCCACACACACACTGGTCTGGTCTAAAGGAAACTGAAAGCCACACCTCTCCCGATGGGATATTATAAAGAAAGCTGTGTGGGATCGGGATGGGGAACATTCGTCTCGTCTGGCAATGCAAAGTCATCTTCACTATTGTCATTTAGATTTCACTTAGCCTCAAATGATTCCCACAAGATTTTAGAAATTTGGTCATGACATGGAACCAGAGTAATGGGACACAACAAGCAAACCAAACCCTTCATTAGATGGAACCCAAACCTAAAATCGGTCATTAAACACACAGGAATGTAAAACAATCAACCTCAACGGGCTTACATTCAACACTTAGCAGGCTGAGGCCATAAGCCATAAGTGATGGTGATGACCAATCTTTATACATCTTGGCAATCTCATAACCAATCAGGTCACACTAGATTTGAAAGGATAAGCCAAATAAAGTTTGCACTTTTTGTTTTGTTGCACTGCAATCGAACAGTGGACAGTTATTAAAGTCTCCCAGTGGTAAAATCGTGTTTTTAATGTCGTTTATGTGTCTTTGTGGTGTTTTTAATATGCTTTAAGACAAACCATATGTAAATTCATGTCGACAGCATTGCTGAGGGTTTTCTACTTAAAACTGCAATGAACCAAAGACAGTTTCAAAAACACGCTTTGAAATCGGTGGTGTTTCTGACGTCACACTAGGGCTGGGCGATATGGCCAAAAAATCATATCTCGATATTTTTTGGTCAAATGGCGATATACGATATATATCTCGGTACTTTCTACGTTTTCTATTTAGATAAAGAAAATCTTTATATTGAAAAAAAAAAAAAATAAATATATATATATATATATTCACATTCGGCCCAATGATATCCTACAAACAATGTTGATATTGAAGGATATGGAAACAAATATAATATAGGCTATGCAATATATTATGTGCAAAAAGCTTTTGTTTTTATATTGACTAAAAGCTAAACTAAAAATGAAAATAAAAACAAAAACAAAAGCACAAACTAATTATATTAGCCTGCATTTGATTACCCCATTATAATCACTTTCACTTTCATTAAAAATATATACTTGTAGGTTTAAAATTCCACATATGGCACATTTATTTTCTCCAACAACAAATATTTTAGCAATATGTTTATTTTAGTCAGAATTATTGCGTACTACGTAGTACTATTCACGCGCATGCGCGCGCCGGCGCTCGTTCAAGGAAGCATGAATTTTAGCGGAGATTCACTTGCAGAAGCTCGTCCTCTTCTGACATGGACATATTTGTTGTGAAATGGACATATTTGCTTTACTTTCTAACATTTACAGATGGAGAATATACATGTGAATTGTAAGTTGAGCACTGAGGAAAGCACCACATCTCAAACGCATTAAACAGCGCAAGTATATCTGTCAGTCAGCAACAGTGTCTGTCAGAGCATTTGACAGGGCGGCAAGCTGCCTTAAACTTGTTAACTATATCAAAGTGATTTTGACGCTATAAGCTTGTGTCATGTTTAGGAGCCTAGCTACTTTCACTGCAGCAGCTTACACTGCAAACTCCGCTATTTTTCAGATGTGCTCATATCAAACTACTGTATCGATATAAACGGTATTGTCTCATTCCATATCGTTTCAAAAAATATAACGATGCATCGTACATACTCGATATATCGCCCAGCCCCACACACAACCTTGTAACCGATCAGAACAACGTGATGACCGCATATCATTAACAGTGAACTAGCAGGCATATAGCGGGTGAATTATATATATAATGTATATGATATTATGGTGAACAATATGCTTTTCTTCTCTGACGATCCGTGTTGTTCGAAGCGTTTCTAAGGATGCAGATTTCTAGAAGACAGATTGAGATGGCGAACGGGAGCAACACATCATTAGATGTTCGATAACGTTAAATGCAAATTATACGGTTGCACTACAGATAATCCTTATCCATCAATTTGACTGAATAAGCTGTCAATTTTCTTCATATCCTATGTTATTTGCAGACGTCTTTTCCTCTTAATTATTTTTTTCTTTGTATTCAACTGTAACAATATGAAGACAACATTTAATTTACAATATATCCCAGGAATAATTCAATGAACTGCACTAAGAATCTCTTGGTATCTCTCCCCAAATCTGTTCCGGCCCCTCCGCTCCACCTGTGTGTTCTTAAAGAGAAACACACTCTTTTCAGCTGGACATTATAAATCACTATTTTCTGCACTAAACTAGTGAATTGTCCCAAGAAATATTCAGAGATGATAAACAAGATGTTATAGAACGATAATTTAATAAAAACCCAATTTTGACAAAAAAAAAACTGACATTCAGTCTATATTTACTACTTTATATTTACACTTTCAGTGAAAACGTACCAGAGCGACATCCGACAGGTTTTCCCAGATCGCATCACAAATGATAAATAATAAAATGGAAGTTCCCCCCTCTTGTATTTCATCCAAGGCAGCAATATATGATGTTCAGATTTGCTTGTTCAAACAGCTTTTTGCTTGATCAATTCTCAGGTCAACAAATGTTTTGTTTGAAGTTTGGCAATTATGGAGGCAGACAAAAATTCCTCTGCAAGATTCAACAACTGAGGTCAATTGAGGACCCATAATTGAGTCACTTTGAAAAGGCTTTTTGAAAACACTTCATTTAGTTTGAGAAGCCAAAAATAGCAACATTGACTAACAGTGAGGTTTGGGCAGTTTGTAAGAAAAGTGTGTGTTACCTGTGCCTCCTCGCGAGCGCAGCGTGCCTTGGTGTGTTGCTGTGTTGACCCCTCCGAAGACAGTCACCCCCTGCGTGACCCCAGTGGCATGGAAGTTGTTGTAGTTGGGAATGGCAGCGACCCCAGTGACCCCACTGAAGCTGGGGTAATGCTGTGGCGTGGGGTCGACACCATATCGATAACCTGCTCCGCTCTGAGACAAGCTGGTGTCCCGGTCCTCTGTTAACTTAGCAGCCTCTTTGTCCTTGCATTGCACACAGCCCATCCTCTATGATCTATGAAATGAAGACAGAGAGAGATTAGGAATAAACTAACCTAAAACTGCACCTTAGCATACTTAATAATAATAAATACTATATACATATACCAGTGGCGGCTGGTGAAAAATATTGGAGGGGGGGCTGAATAAGAGGGGGGTCTGGGGTTCCCCCCCCCAGAAAATTTTGAATTTAGTAGATGTGATTTCCTGCATTCTGGTGCATTTTAGGCCTTAGGCCATGCCCTTACCTATACCAATAAAATAACTTAAACCAGTCAATACCAATGGTCAAATAATACAATAATAATAATAACAGTTTGACAGTTAATGATAATGAACAAGTTGCATGTTTATTATGCTCTGTGTGCTGACAGAAAAAGTGCAAACGCATAATATTGATAAATTATAATATAGGTAATACAAAAAATAATAGGTAATACAACAATCTAGTTTAATCAATCCCCAGCTGTAGACATATGTTTGACAAATTGACAATTGGATAATGGATAACAATGTGTTGATACTAGAGAAAGAGAGAGAGAAAAGGCTCTGAAAGAGAGGGTGGGACAACATTCTTGAGGGTAGCACCCAAGTATGAGAAGAAAGTTGATTTTAACTAGTATGAAACACAGTAATCTAGCTCAGAACTTAAAAACATCAAAAACAAAGCAAACACACAGGTATTAATATTCCTATAACTATTTAAATATCAAATGTGTGTGAAACAGTGTTTATGTGTGTGTGAGTGAGTGAGTGACAGAGACAGACAGGTCAATTCCCACGACTAACTTTACATTATTTCCACTCGACGTCACTGGCGCTGCCATTCTGCTCTCATCTGAGGTAAAAAAATGTCCCGTGGTGCGCGTGCACTCCCCTAATCTGACACTGTGGGCGATATTTTCAGCGCCCCCAAACCATAAAATTTGACGACGCTGATTGGCGAAATATAAACTTTTTTGCATAGCAACCGGGGAACCATTGGCTTAAATTCCAGCACTGTGGGGCTGAGCGAACTGGCGCCCTGAGAAGACAGCCTATTGGCTATACTACTACACCAACATGATAAAAGTAACGAAAGTGAATGCAAATATCATTCTGGTGAGTTCAAAACACTTTTCAAAGTAAAACCATAATTAGCATATAATTAACACAGATTATTTTTCAAAATGATAAATTATAATATATATTAAAAAAACAGACAGACAGGTCTGAGGGAGGGCGGCGCCCCAGCGCCCTCTATGGGCGAGCCGCCCCTGACATATACATATATACACATACACACACACACACCATAATTTACAAATAAATTCTTAAAAAAAGTGATTTCCTGGATTTTTATTCTCATTTTGTCTCTCACAGTTGAAGAGTACCCATTTTTTAAACATGTACTTGAGCATGTTAAAAACACTCATAAAGTGTACACTTTAAGCAACCTTTAATTTCATTATATTATCTGAAAGTGCAGTGTTATGAAATATATACAGCACAGAGGAAGAATTCATTATTGCATAGAATCTTAAAAATCCTTTAACAAGTAAGGACACACTAACACTTTGTTTTTGTTTTTTTTGTCAAGCTCCTCTTGTTGGGAACTTCACTCAGTAGAGAGAGAGAAAGAGAGTGTGTGTGTGTGTGTGTGTGTGTGTGTTCTTCCGTTCATCAGTGCAGGATTTTAAAACTGAACTCGGAAGTTCAGTCCATGATCCATCAACAGCACAAAAGCTGAACTGTCTGACGGACAATAAACTCCCATCGGGAAGCGTCAAGATCTCTTATGCCTCTTCCAGAAGACCCTCACAGTGAAACAGAGAAAAACACCCTTGTGAATAAGTACTGTGTTGAATGTCAACTTGTACTGCCCTTTAAATCTTAAAAGACAAAGTATATTATTTCTGTAATAATTACTCTTTTTAAAAGTGAGCTAAAGTGTTCTACTTTTTCACATGCAAGGCAACATACAGAAAAGGCCTTTAAAAGTAGTATTTTTTTCTAGATTTTCTAGACTAGATTACTGTAATGCTTTATTAGGTGGTTGTCCTGCATCCTCAATAAACAAGCTACAGTTAGTACAAAATGCAGCCGCTAGAGTCCTTACTAGATCAAGAAAATATGAAAACCGATTCTATCATCACTTCATTGGTTACCTATAAAGTTCCGTATTAATTACAAGGTATTGCTTTTGACTTTTACAGCTCTAAATGGTTTAGGTCTATTTAACGAATCTTCCATCGCGCTCTTTAAGATCACTAAATTCGAGGCTTCTGGTCATTCCTAGGATATCCAGATCCACCAAAGGAGGGAGAGTAGGGGTGTGCGATATGACGATTTTCCTTCCTGATATTGTTTGTTGCTCAGACTCTTTCTCCCAGTTTAAAACTAGACTAAAGATGCATTTATTTAGCCAGACATTCATATAATTTTTTTTTATCTTACAGTTACTGTAAATTTGGCCTCAAGTTGATAAACGCCAGAGGAGAACTGGCCCCCGACTGAGCCTGGGTTCTTCCAAGGTTTTTTTTTTTTTTTCTCCATCGGGTCACTTGATGGAGTTTTTCGGTTCCTTGCCACTGTTGCCTTTGGCTTGCTCAGTTTGGGATATTCAAATTAAATGACCCATCATACCATTGATCAGCTCCACCAAACTTGGATGTCTTTTTTCCAGTAATAGAAGTTAAAAAGCGCTATATAAACACTGAAAAGCGCTATATAAATATATTTGACTTGACTTTTTCAAATAAAAATGTTTTGTTGAATAGTGTGATTGTCTTTAAAATAAATGCCATTTGGCTTTATATCTAATGCAGACATACAATTCTAAACAAAGTGACCAAATATAAAGCTGATAGTAAACACTGTAAACTGTTTTCTAGAAACAAATAAAGTTGAGATTTACTGGATACATTACTCTAGATTGAGTCATCAGTGCAATAACAAACATTCATGCACTTTTAACTCCCAGAAACTCAAATGGATTTTTTTAAAGTCTGTACTAACTTGATCTTTTTTTATGACCAAGATGGCTGAGAAATAAATGTGTGTGTAAACGCCATTTTTACTGCTATAATCCAGATCTGTATCAGATTGAGATCTGCGAAGATATTATTTTTCAGTTTTTGAATTCAATTGATGTTCTTCAATTCTATGCCAGAAGTGGGAACGCATGGATCTCAGTGTTCTTAGCTATGACAGGAGTTGCTCATCCTCACTTGTCTCCAACAGACACACACTGAATGGCGGCAAGCTCACTCTGTACCCATCTCTGACAGGAACATCCCCTGCTCCGGCTTCCTCTCTCGCTCTGTTGTTCCTCTCATCTCTCTCAGACAGACCCCTGCTGTGTGTCACCGAGCAGACTAGCACTCTTACACCTACGAGCAAGGTCTCCCGTCGTCTCGCTCTTCCGCTAATCCACAAAGCTCTCTTTCCAAACCTTTTATATTTGTCTACCTCTGCCATGAATAATGTATGCCGTTCTTGCCCTTAAGCAGAAGCACCTGCAGGCTGTCAGAGGCGTTACCTGATGTTCAGCCCACATCCTCTCATTTACAGCTCAAGAGTGCCCATAAACAACAGCTTACTGCAAACATGAACCCACAGCTCTCCACAGGATTCACTGAAGCTACAGAAAATCCACCCCCAGGAAATCAACACAGGCTTATTGGAAAAAGTGACTGTGGGGACATTTGTTGCTGCTGATATTACATTGCTTTCGTAATGTCCAGTAAATGGCGCAAAAAGCATAAATGTGAAATTTGTTTTATTACGGTTGATGTTGCACATATTGTCGCAGTTCGGAGATGATATGTCCGATGAGTGGCATTAAAGGGATACTCCACTTTTTTTTTTTGGAAATAGGCTCATTTTATCACTCCCCCAGAGTTAAAGGTGCCATATGGAATAATTGAGGTAAAATATGCAAAAAATGAGCTACACACATCAAAAGAATGAGAAGAAATAAGTGCAATGATGTCAAACTGGCAAGTTATAGTGCTGCCGAGATATAACCTAAATTAGCATGCTAAATTACTAGCCCCGGCCCGGCAGGTGTCGTAATACCAGTTTCGGCCATGGGAGGCGGTATGCGGGCGGGCAACGTTACCACCAGCCAAACTGCAGTAACACGAGTAAGTCGCGCCGGCTTGTGTGTGTACTTGAACCTGATGTCATGTCGTGATGTCGTGTGGAAAATACAGCCCACTACTAAATTTCAGTTCAGGGATGAGTTAAATAAATGATTGGTCGATATTATACATGAGGAATACATTTTGGTAAGTTGTAACATATCTTTCAACAGTGTTCGTGTTCTTTTACCATTAGCTAGTAGAGATGATCGGCGCTAGGGATCTGTCGTCTAACATTTACAAGCGCCAAAACTGCATTTATTGTTTGAATTGCGTAATAAAATGAACAGAATCTGAGAGCTGAGATTGGTCTCTGTGTCCTTTTCTGTGCATGACAAATTGGATGTGTGGCGTGAGAGTGTGTGAAAAGTTGTGTGTCTCACTGTGAATTTGTGAGAGTTGGCAGCTCTGAAAGGCGCTAGCTTGGTCCACATCAGGGAATGCTGTCTGTCAAATTAATTCAAACTAATGATAAAAAATGTAACATGAACAAAACGAATACCATAAACTAAAAATGCCTGGGCTTTAATTTTCCCATATCGTCGAAATGCACCGGCTTGAACGCAGCATAAATTGATATAAATAGTTAAGACATTTTCGTGGAATTAGTATTGATAGAAATGTTGATACTTTGACAAGCCTATTTTAAGCCAAAATATACACCATTATCAAGAAATTACTTAGATTTACTCATGAGCTAAGATGCCTACTTATGTGGGTGACATTCACACAAATTGATGAAACTAAGGGTGTGTTTACAGACAATGATATGCTTAAATTTAAATTTGTACATACGACACCATTGTAAAAAACGATCCCCATTCACACGGATCTGTGAAAACGACTAAAAACACTGTATTCTGCTGACAGGACATTAGATGGCGATGAAACACTATAGACGAATCCGGCGAAACTACCGGAAGTAAGCGGGCGCCATTACTGAGCTGTTGCTGGGTAGCGTTGCGCCATTGCCTCTCATTGTTTTAGTTGCAACTTGCGTCCACTGGAATAAACAGCCCGTGATTTACGACTGTCACTAACGTTGCAACGTTAGCCCTTGTATAATGTCGAGTGGGTAAACAGTTTCCGTTATAAATTGTTTCTATGGTGGCAGTAAAATTTCAATTTTGAAGAGAAAACATTGTGAATACCCCAGGTCGAGTGCCCCTGTCTGGTGCCGTACGGTTTACACAGATTTCCTGGGCGAGTACAAGACGTGGACATTCGCGTATAATAACAATTATTTAATGACATAAGTAAAAAAATATAATAAATATGTGATATTTATTATAGTGATAGTGATCAGCAAAATCTCCTCTCTTGCTATTTTTTCTATTCAATTAACATGCTATGGTCATTAAATGGCTTTCCTGAGCTAAATATAACGTTATGTGACATAATTGTTCTCCCGCTGTTATATTGACCTCTTTCCATGGTTTAAAAACACTTATTGGTCGATATTATGTATACTTTCTAGCTGTAACATTACCTTACCCTTGCCCGTTGCAATGTGAAAATGAGATAAATAATGAACACAAATGAAAAACATGAATTTGTTTATTTGATTTCATTTATTTATTTATTGTTGCCAAATGGACAGATCTTTTTATAGTTTCCTCGTTAGCAAACGTTAGCCTAGCTAGCTTGCCAAGCTATTTTCATAAATAATCTGTAAGATCGTTTGTACCTTCACCTGTGACTGGAGGCCAAGGTCTAACATCATCAACCCAACAAGTCATTCTGCCTGTCTTTAGCTGTCATCGAGGGTGCTTTCGCGTTATCACCGAGGTTTGTTTACATACCGGTGCATATGTCTATGCTGGTGTAACAGCTCAGTAATGGCGTCGCCACAAGATGGCAGCCTACACAGAACGCTCGTCGGATTCGTCTATAGACTGAACACGTAATACGCATGTGCATGACGTCATCATCTTCAGAGATTCACGTTTTTGTTGTTTACACGTTTTCAAAAGTTTGCGTTTTCTAAATTGTGATTTATGGATCACAGACAGTACTAAAAAGGAAAGGGGGGTGGGGGGGAATGGGGTTCTATAGGGGCGTGGTTTGCAGAACTACATTTGTTGTAACACATGTTAGTGAATGAGACACTTGAAGTTCAAGGGCAAGGAAAGAAGAGATTGCAGAAGAACAACGGTAAAGACACTGATGAACGGAAAGGAGGCGAAAAGAGACTTCAAAAGAGGAGATGAGTATGAATGGAGATGAGATGAGAGGAGAAACAGTAAATGAGAGGAGACAAAAAGAGAAGTGAAAAGTAGAGGGGACGAGAGGAGAGGAGGTTAATGAGTTTCTGCACAAGACAAGTGAACTGCTTTATTAAGGGAATGCTTGTAATAAGCGATGAGGCGTAAGAGAAGCGAGAGAAATGAAGAGATAGAAGGGCAGATGAAAAAAGACAAAGAGCAGAGAGTCTGCAGAGACCAGGATGGAATATTTTATATCTTAGGAAGAGAGAGAGAAAGACTGAGAGAAGTGAGAGAGAGGTGGAGAGATTGTGCCCTGCGGGGATTTTGAGTGGTTCAATATGCGAAATTATCGCCATGTAATAATAATAATAAATATGCTATATAAATAAGCTAATTGGGATTTTTAACGTATAACAGTTATGTATGACAGACTTGAATAAGGACAGACACAGGCAATTGCATTCGCTCTGTGTGCATGTGTGTGTGTGTGTGTTTGTCCCTGACCCCCACCTTTTTCTCAGACCAGGTGACAGAGTAATTGGGATTGCCTAAAATATTTGTGAATTTCATTTCATGTAAACAAACATGCACAATGGGGAATATATCAGGTCACCAAAACTTATCATGGTCATGCCCGTATATCAACACAGAAAAATCATCGGCTGTTGTCAATAATCAAAACAAATGCCAAATATCGGCCATGACAATAATCCCAACCAATATCTAAATTTGGCATTTCTTTATAGATTGTGTGCTTATACACCTTTTTGACAAGGTTTCACCATCAGCATTATGATTCTGTTGTCAATGTCATGAATTAAGCAAAGAGCAAGACTCAGTCTCAACCTACAGTTACTCCAACATTACAAGTTAAGATGGGGCCATTGAGCATCAATAACAGTGTACTGAGTGTAGCATAACTATTTAAATCATTCAGAGTTGTCTGTATATAATATAATATAATACAATATAATTAAAGGGGTGGTTTACTGCTTTTTTTCTTTGCATGATTGTGTTTATGGGGTGCAATATAACATGTATTCATGGTTTTTCTTTTTTAAAAAGTCTTATTTTTCATAAATTTCACCTTTATTGTAAGCTGCTTTCTCCTCTGTCATTTGAACGAGCGGTTGACTTCCTGAGTCTATGAAACCACTCCCTCAGAAACAGGCAATGGCCTCAGATTGGTTAGTTTGGGCTAGTGTGTTGTGATTGGCTAAACTGTAGCTCACGTTGTCCGGAAGATTAACGCCCATTACCTTTACGGGCGAAATGTGCCGGTGCTCCGGTCCAGATGTAAATAATGGTGTCGATACTGCAGTATCAGTATGAGCCAGAATCAGACCCAGAAAGCAGTGATGAAGAGAGTCAAGCAGAACCTCACCACACACGGCTCTTACTAAACGCTTCCGAATGGTAATGTGCCTATATATTTTTTTACTTTATACACGTTTGTTTTACACAATAGCATTGAACTGACTGGCTACTTACTAGGGGTTTCATCAACTAGTCGACTGTCACAACCACTAGTTGGCGCTGTTGGCCTTAGTCGACTAGTCGGAAACAAAATGATGCCATATATATAGATATATTTTTTTTGTGAACTATCCTTAAGTACCAGCGGCAGTATATACTATAAGCACTATAAAGGCCATTGCACACTGAGCACGAAATATTCGTATGCGTATTTTCGTGGTCGTCAGCTTAAAAATTCGTCACGCATAGAAACCTTGCACACCGAGTCCGTTGCGTATTTCTTAAACCTTTGCGGGAAAAAACGCAAAAATACCAAATGGATTCGTCAAGCAGTGAGGATGATTTTTGCCCTCTCTCTTATTGAAAAGGGAAGAAAGAGAAAATATTACGTCCATCCAATCCTGAAATTGCGCCGAGAGGAAGGAGAGTTCCTTATCAAGGAGTTGCGAATTTATCCTGAGCGATTCAAAATTTACCTCAGAATGTCAGTG